TGTGCGCGAAGGTACTGTAATGATTTATGGTATGTCCGTACTGTCACGTCCGCGCCAGTCAAGTAATAGCGCCATACTTTGAACGCGTGCACGATCGCAAGCATTTCGCGGTCGTGTATCGGGTAATTTTTCTCGGGCGGATGCAGTTTTCGTGACTCGTATGCGATAGGCTGTAGGCCATTGCCAAAATCCTGTAGCTGTACGGCTCCGATGGCGATATCGCTTGCGTCGGTAACTACTTCGAATGGGCGGTGTGGGTCGGCGATGCGCAGGACGGGCGGTGAATAGAGAATATTTTTCAGGGCAGAGAGGGCAGCATGCTCTTTCTCCCCCCACGTAAAAGCGACCCCCTTCCGCAGTAAATCCGTCAGTGGGGCAGTTAACCGTACCATATCGGGTACGAACCGACGCACATAATTAACGAACCCTAAAAAGCTCTGCAGCTCCGTGATGTTCGTCGGGGGATGCCACGCTTTTACCGTATCCAGCTTCTTTGGGTCGATTTCAACTCCAGCCTCCGAAATAACGTGCCCCAAAAATTCTAACCTAACCTGGAAGAACTCGCACTTGGAACCCTTGGTCAGTAATCTGTGCTCGTCTAAAACCTTAAACACTGCTTCCAGATCTGCTAAGTGCTGCTGCTTATCCCGACTGTACACTAGGATGTCGTCGAGGTAAACTATTACACATTTATCTAAGAGCGGCCTAAATGCCTCGTTCATGGTCATCTGAAAAGTCGCCGGTGCGTTGGTCAGCCCGAATGGCATCACAGTGTACTCGAACGACCCGTACCTAGTCCTGAAAGCTGTTTTGGCGCAGTCCGATGGTTCGACCCTAATCTGATGGTAACCTCCCTGTAAATCTATTTTCGAAAAAACCTGTGCTGTTCGCAGTTGGTCAATCAGTTTGTCGGCGCGGGGAATGGGGTACCGCGACTTGACTGTTACCCTGTTCAGTGCTCTGTAGTGGATGTCAGTAGATCTGCACTATGGATGCCCGATTGATCCTGGAGAGGGTTACAGGCGCGTTCGCCTGGGGGGTTATGGGCGCACTGACCCGCTACTGAAACAAGCCCTTCTATCCCAATGGTCTAGTGGTTGGGATTCTGACATGGTGTTAGAGTGGTTTCGGGTTCGAATCTCGGTGTATGCACATGTAGGCCGTTGCCGCTGTGCTCAGTCCTGGGCCTCCCAGTGTGGGGGGGTGTCAGTAGATCTGCACTGTGGATGCCCGATTGATCCTACGGGGGGTTACAGGCGCGTTTGCCTGGGGGGTTATGGGCGCACTCTGACCCGCTACTTAGGATTTTGACATGGTATCAGAGCGGTCTCGGGTTCGATTCCCGGTGTATGCACATGTAGGCCGTTGCCGCTGTGCTTAGTCCTGGGCCTCCCGGTGTGGGGGGGTGTCAGTAGATCTGCACTGTGGATGCCCGATTGATCCTGGAGAGGGTTACATGCGCGTTCGCCTGGGTGGTTATGGGTGCACTGACCCGCTACTGAAACAAGCCCTTCTATCCCAATGGTCTAGTGACTGGGATTCTGACATGGTGTTAGAGTGGTCTCGGGTTCGAATCCCGGTGTATGCACTTGTAGGCCGTTGCCGCTGTGCTCAGTCCTGGGCCTCCCAGTGTGGGGGGGTGTCAGTACATCTGCACTGTGGATGCTCGATTGATCCTACGGGGGGTTACAGGCGCGTTTGCCTGGGGGGTTATGGGCGCACTCTGACCCGCTGCTTAACAAGCCCTTTTATCCCAATGGTCTAGTGGTTGGGATTATGACAGTGGATACACATGCGAAAACCCCCGTCTTTTTTCGGCGTGAATAGTATCGGTGCGGCGAACGGTGACGAGCTCGGTCTGATGAATTTTTTCTCTAACAGGTAATCTAACTGCTTCCTTAGTTCGTCGAGCTCGGGCTGTGTCAGTCTGAACTGGCGCTGTACGGTTGGCTGTGCCCCCGGTTCTAATTCGATTCGGTGGTCATGTGCTCGCTGAGGTGGCAGTCCTTCCGGTAAGTCGTCGGGGAAAATCCCGGGGTATCGTTTCAACAGTTCCTGTAATTCGGGCGGTACGGCTGCCAGCAGTTTCTTGAAATCACTTGGCTGCTCTGCTTCCTCTACTACTGCAATGTCTATTGCGTACACGTCAGCTCCAGCAGCGACATCCCGTTTCATTGTGATGGCGTTGATGTGTACCGTTGAAGACTCGGGCGACTGCCAGCAAGGTAGCTCGACCCAGTTACTGTCAGAATCCCAGTCACTAGACCACTGGGATAAAAGGGCTTGTTTCAGTAGCGGGTCAGTGCACCCATAACCCCCCAGGCAAACGCGTCTGTAACCCTCTCCAGGATCAATCGGGCATCCACAGTGCAGATCTACTGACACCCCCCTACACTGGGAGGCCCAAGACTAAGCACAGCGGCAACGGCCTACATGTGCATACACCGGGAATCGAACCCGAGACAGCTCTGATACCATGTCAGAATCCCAGTCACTAGACCACTGGGATAAAAGGGCTTGTTTCAGTAGCGGGTCAGTGCACCCATAACCCCCCAGGTGAACGCGCCTGTAACCCTCTCCAGGATCAATCGGGCATCCACAGTGCAGATCTACTGACAGTTACCACTACTTCGCACGGTACAGCTACCCGTCGTCCACTCAATTCGCGGGTTACACCGTCGCAGCCAATCACGTCCGAGTAAAATATCGTGCCCATCCAGTGTCGTTGCGAGCATTTCCTGTGTAAACCCGAAATTTCCCCCGCAGCGGACTCTGACTCTCTCTACCTTTTCCCGTATGGCCAGTGGCGTGCCGTCGACTAAGCGTGCGTCTATCTCCGATAAGCAACAGCTAAGTGTCAGCTGCAGTTTTCGTGCGGTTGCGGTATTAACCAAACTGTGGCTTGCTCCTCCGTCGATAAAAATCTTCACTGCTGCTCCCTGTATTTTCCCGTGGATCAGTACTGGGCAATCGGTTGCTGTACCCTCCTTATTCGTCCGAGTCCGATCGATAGCATGAATCGGTACTGTGACTCGGTGAGGGTCGGTGGGGTTGGGCGAGTAGGCAGTCTCGTCAGTAGTTGGCCCGATTCCTACTGACTGCTGGCATTTCCCTGCTTTGGAGACTCCCTCCCCTGCTCTGCTCCGCGGCGCCTTAGCTCCTCTGGGCATTCGCTCTTTCGATGGCCCGACCTGTTGCAAGCAAAGCAACGCCCCTTAAACGGCGCGGCAGCTGTATTCGTCGCAACAGCGTGTACAGTGGCGTGCTCGATCGGTCCCCGAGGACGATGTCCATAGTAGGACCTCGGTCTCGGACGGCGTAAAATGTCGATTTTCTCGGCGAGCGCGAGAATCTCGTTGAAGTTGGAGAGCCCGCGTAGCATGATTTCGTGCGAGATGTCCGGCTTCAGCCCTCCGACGTAACGGTCCACCCGCTCCGCTTCGTGCATGTAGCCGACTTGCTCGCATAATGCGAGAAAACCAATCGTATAGTCTTGAGCCGATCTAAGTTGCCGCCAAGTGCGCAATCTCTGACGCGTCGAAATAGAAGCCGCGATCGGCTCGAAGCGCGCCCGAAGCCCTGCGCACCACGCATCCCACGTGCTGTATTGGGCGGTCTCGCATAATGAACTCCAGGTGACTGCTGGGCCCGTGGGCCCTTCCTCTTGCGACGGTGGCTCGTAGGCGCGTGGCGACGTCACGATGACTCGCCACCAGTCCATGGCGGGGCCCCTTAGCAGCGAAACGGCATACCGAATCTTCGCTGCGTCCGACTCGACGTAATTCGCGTCGAAGAAGACGTTCATCGTGAAGACCCACAATTGAACCGTCGGACCTCGACGCTGGCTCGGGTCAAAGCAGGGCGGGCGTTGCGGCTTGAGTGGCATTGGTGCCATAATGGTCTGTTCGCCACTTGTCGCCGCGAACTCCACATGCCGACGGGCTTCGCGAGGCTCTCGCGGGCTTGGTGCGACCCTGTTTCCTCCCATGCCAGGCATCGGCTGGGCGGCGCCATCGCTGGCTGCGCCTGAGCGCTGTCCCACGCTGTTGTTTTGTGTTGGTGTGCCGGACGAGATGACGATCGGCTCGTCTGATTTGTCGGTGCGTGTGGTGGCGCTGGAGTGTTCATCGTTGATTGCTGACGCGCGGAGTCACGTTCCGCCGTGAGCGTCGCAATTTCGAGCGCCGAATCTTCAAGTTGGCGCACCAGACGGTCGAGCTGCTCCTGCGTCAATGTGGCGAGCGTGAATTCGGCCATGGCGGGGGTGTCGGGCGAGCTCAGCGAGAGCCTCGGTCGTGGCCGTGCGTGCTTACGAGAGAGCACTACGAGCGGCGGTGCTGTGTCGCTGAGAGACGTCTACCCCCCCAAAAAAATTGAGATAGTGGGGAAGCGAAGGTGTGGGTGCGGTCCGAGAGGAGATCGTAGGCTCTGAATACCATGTGTTACAAGTGCAATTGAGTGAACGAACGAGAATTGCACTATCGAAGCAAGAGTACAATGAGCGAAGGCACGAGCAAAGACTATATAGCGAAACTACAGTGGTAACGGTAATGGACTGTGGTTGTCGCGCGACGGGCCTGAGACTGAGGTTGAGAAAAAGTGTCGAAGCGGAGGCCCGGAGCGCGGGTTACCCGCCGAGCCATGAGGTCGGGGTGCGATGTGCGAAGGTGGCGGGCGGATTGTCGATGCGAGGGTTGCGAGTGGTAACGGTGCTGACTGTGGTGCTACAGTGATGTACACGTTGATCAGGGATGCGAAGTAAGGAAAAGGAATTCTCCTTACAATTAGAAAACACTGGAGCACCTTCCTAACACCTGATCAACAAAGGCAACAAACCAATGCTTTCAAATACCAACACACATAGCTGATATCTTAAAGCAAGGGTGCACTTTGCTAGGGGTGGTTTTTGGGGGCATTGTTAGTGCACACCCTTTAGAGGATGCTGATTCGATAGCGAAGGGTACAGAAAGCTGGTGCGAGGAATTCGAACTCGGCAAGTGATGCCAACCAGTTTCGTGTGCAAAACTGATGCGGGGAATACACCGCGGAAGGGCAGAAACCAAGTGTACAGCGCAACCAAGCAAGTGACAAACATCATCCCGAGATGATCAATCTGACAAAGCAAACTTCCATCGAGTCAAGGGTAGGAGCCACTATTTTTACGCACATATTGAGCTTCCTTTCCCTAGCGCTACTACGATAGAGTCCGGAGGGTAGAGTCCCACCCACGCGTACACGCAAGCCCCATCACATGCTTGAAACCGAGCCTCGCGGCTAACCCGCTACGTCACTCGCCTTCGAGACGCGTCGTACCGCGTCGCAGCCTCCTCTTCCGTGTCGCCACCTCCTCGCATCCGCCTCCCCTACTCGCCGGAACCCATCCTCCTCATCGGCGCATCTCCGCCTCATTACCGCCACATCGCCGCCTCGCCGACTCGCCGCCTCGCCACCTCGCCACATCGCCGCCTCGCCGCCTCGCAGACTCGCCACATCGCCGCCTCACCGCCTCGCCACATCTCCGCCTCGCCGCCTCACCGCCTCCCCCACCTCGCCACAACGCCGCCTCGCCGCCAATCCGACTCGCCGCGTCATCACATCGCCGCCTCGCCGCCTCGCCGCCTTGCCGCCTCGCCACCTTGCCACATCCCTGCCTCGCCGCCTCGCCGCTTCGCCACATCGCCACATCGCCGCGTCGCCGCCTCGCCCATGTTCTCTAGTCTCCCCCCAGCTCAAATCCATGCACTCAGATTCCCCTTCTGTTTGCACTCTGTCTCCCAGCCTGTTTGCACTCATTTTCCTCCCCTGTTTGACACTCAGTTTCGGGTCCCTGTTTAAGGTTAAGTTACACCGCCTGGGTGCACTCATTTGAGACCCCTTCTTTACACTCAGGTCCCCCCATTGTTTGCACTGATTGCGATCTCCCTATTCCCTATCCCCCCCAATCCCCCTCTCCCCTAATCTCCCAACCCTATCTTTCACAGTTTCCATGCTGCGTGTCCTCTGTTTTTGTTTCCCCTCTCCGTGTCCGTGTTGCTTGTCCCCTACTGTCCTCCGCTCTCCCTCTGTCCTCCTCCCTACACCCTGGCCCCCCTTCTCCCCCCCCTGTCTTCCCCTCTCCCCCCTGCCCTCCGTTCTCCCCCCTGTCCTCCTCTCTCCCCCCTGCCCTCCCTTCTCCCCCCCCTGTCTTCCCCTCTCCCCACTGCCCTCCCACCCCCCTGTCCCCCTCTCTCCCCCCCTGTCCCCCTCGCTCCCACCCTGTCCCTCTCTCTCCCCCCCTGTCCCCCGCTCTCCCACCCTGTACCCCTCTCTCCCCCCCTGTTCCCCTCTCTCCCGCCATATCCTCCTCATTCCACTCCCCCCTGTTCCTCTCTCTCCCCCTGTCCCCCTCTCTCCCGCTCTGTCCTCCTCATTCCACCCTATCCTGTCCCCCCGCCTGTGCCTCATTCCCTTTTCTCAGTTCCCGCCCGTTACCATCGCTTCCCGTTCCCATCGCTCGCCCCGTCGAACCTCTCCTCGCTCCCCTTCCCGCCGCTGCCTCACCCTGCTTCCCCTCGTTTGCTCTCGATTCCTTCCCCTGTCGCCCACGCGCGTTCCCCTCCCCTCCCGGGGCTGTCGCCTTCGTCTCCCAGTCCCCCCACCCTTCTCTACCCCTCACAGTGCACGTATTTACCACCTCCTCCAATTCCCTCACCCTATGCTTCACTCTCATCCACATCCTCCCGAATGAGCACAACTTCTTCCTCCATCTGCGTTCCTTTTTGCGGACCCCTCTTTTACCCTTCACTCAACCTCCCTGCTCACTCTGTTTCCCCTTGCTCAATTTGTTCCCCCCTGCTTTCTCCCTTCCCCCCTGCTCACTCTGTTTCCCCTTGCTCATTTCTTCCCCCCTGCTATCTCCCTTCAACCCTGCAGCCCTGCTCACTCTGTTTCCCCTTGCTAATTTCTTCCCCCCTGCTTTCTCCCTTCCCCCCTGCTCACTCTGTTTCCCCTTGCTCAGTCTTTGCCCCTGGTCGCATCTCCCCTTTCACCCAGGTCGCAACTCCCCTTCCCCCCCACCAGGTTGCATCTCCCCTTCCCTCCAAATCGCATCTCCCCTTCCCCCCAGGTTGCATCTCCGCTCCCCCCCAGGTCGCATCTCCCCTTCCCCCCAGGTCGCATCTCCCCTTCCCCCCAGGTCGCATCTCCCCTTCCCCCCAGGTCGCTTCTCCCCTTCCCCCCAGGTCGCATCTCCCTTTCCCCCCATCTCTCCCCCTGCCTCCCCATCTCCCCCCCAGTCTCTCCCTCTCCCCCCACCGTCCTCCTCTCTCCCCCTATCCTCCTCTATCCCCCGTGTCCTCCCTCTCTCCCCTTCGTACCTCTAAATCCTCTCCCCACCTTCCATCTCCATCCTTCTCACCCCCCCCTCTTCCCCTCATGTCCCCTCCTGCTTCGCCTCATTTTCCACCCGTCATCCCCTCCCGTCATCCCTTCCTCATTTTCATGTGTCCACGGCAGATGACACATAGGAGCACACTCTTCTACGCCCTTGCTGCATGACATCACGCGACATGGTAGGGAGCTCGTGAATTGTCCAAGAACTGGTGTTCTATTTGGATGTGAAAAAACTTGACAGGATCTTTGTAAAGCCATTATTTGACTAACATGCCAAGCGAAATGTGAAAAGACGGCATAAGAATGATACATCAAGGGTTTAGACCCTGAGTGAAAGCATCGTTCTAACAACAACTTTGCCCATTGATAATATGCACTCTAAAAAAGCCTAGGACCACACCATGAGCTCAAACTACCACATTATGGCCCTTCAGCACTCCAACCGCCTCCCCATCCCCTCCCCTTCCGCCAAATGCATAACAATTCATCGTCATTGCCCGTGTCTGCACGGCGGGTCATTTCCATCAACGATTCCAGACTGGGGGAAGAGAGTGGCAGACATACCGTATTCTCCCGAATAAAACACCCTAGGGTATTATGAAAACCATTGGAAAAAAATGGGGGGGGGTTTCCTCAAAGGAAAATCCTACATAATACCCGGGTCTTATTATATGGTATATTTTTAATCAAGTAGAAAAAATGTGAAACAAAATCAGGGGCCTGACTCCACTTCAAGAATGTTGACCAGTGCCGCAAAACCGAGTATACGAGGATAGTGTGACCGCCCACTGGAATCTGCGACGTGGCAAATTCGAGTGGGCAATTCTGGCACTTGATAGGGTGAAAACAAAGCCAATTGCGTGGCGAGGGTTCATGCAACCGCCGAGGCCAGAATCGCGCACAGTGGTGCGTTCATGTACCAGTCACTTCTTGACTGGTTTGGTCACGTGTCTGTGCCTCATGCGAGAAGGTGAGGGCGTATCTTTGGTTCGGGTCATAAGGCTACTTTGGGTCATACGCGTTTTCCGCATGACCCAAACAGCACAAAACGCCACCTATTCCGCGCTTCAGAAGGCCACTTTGGGTCATGCGCGATTTCCGCATGACCCAAACAGTAAGATGAACAGTGCCATGACCCAAACCAAAGATACGCCCTGATTTTCACCTATTGGGCCACTTGCAGCGGAAGATTCGCCAGCGTGGCGACAGCGAGATTGTGGGAGGGGGGAAATCTTGGCAGATTCTAAGTGAAAGTACACGCGAAATTTCACCTAGGGAGCAATTCTCGCGATATCTTCCCGTAAGGAATCGGACTCGATAACAGCTATAATAAGAATCTATAAGAAAAGGGGGGTGTTATAGAAAATCACTCCAAAAGGGGGGGTATAGTACAAACGGGGTCGGATATAACACCCACCCCGTATTAGCTACCCGGGGGTGTACAATTACGGGGGGGTGTTTTATCCGGGAGAATACGGTAGATGAAAGGGCAGGGAGAGGAGAGAACACAATGAGGAGAACAGGTACACAGATGTTTGATAGGGCAAGTATGGCGTTAGAGGAACGATTGGACGGGACAGAGAGGGGGGATAGGACAAGGCAGAGAGCAAAGAGAGGGGAGATGGGGGAGGGCATTGAAGGGAGAGACGGAAGAGAGGGAGAGAGGGCATGGGGTCAAGAGAGGGCAGGGAGGGGAGATATGGCAGGGAGGGGAGAGGGGACGGGGTGAGGAGATATGGCAGGGATGGGAGAGGGGACGGGGTGGGGAGATATGGCAGGGAGGGGAGAGGGGACGGGGTGGGGAGATATGGCAGGGATGGGAGAGGGGACGGGGTGGGGAGATATGGCAGGGATGGGAGAGGGGACGGGGTGGGGAGATGTGGCAGGGAGGGAGAGGGGACGGGGTGGGCAGATATGGCAGGGATGGGAGAGGGGAGTACAAGAGGGGAGAGACGATGGTATGGGGAGAGAGGGCAGGGAGGGGTGAGGGGAGTAAGAGAGGGGAGAGAGGGAAGCATGGGGAGAAAGCGCAAAGAAAGGACATAGCGGGGATATAGGACAAGGGGGGGTGGAAAGACAGGGAGCAGATACAGGCCAGGGAGGGGCACAGAGGGTGAGGGGAGTAAGATAGACGAGTGAGGTAATATTGGGGAGATGGCAGGGAAGGGCAATGTGTAGGTGCGGGTGTGGCGATGAGAGGTGTGGTGGCGTTGTTAGAGTGCGGTAGACGCATTAGGAGAAATGCGCCCGGATCAAGGCATTGCAATCTGCTTTTGAGTCGACTCAATAGGAGAAATGCGCCCGGATCAAGGCATTGCAATCTGCTTTTGAGTCGACTCAATAGGAGAAATGCGCCCGGATCAAGGCATTGCAATCTGATTTTGAGTCGACTCAATAGGAGAAATGCGCCCGGATCAAGGCATTGCAATCTGCTTTTGAGTCGACTCAATAGGAGAAATGCGCCCGGATCAAGGCATTGCAATCTGCTTTTGAGTCGACTCAATAGGAGAAATGCGCCCGGATCAAGGCATTGCAATATGCTTTTGAGTCGACTCAATAGGAGAAATGCGCCCGGATCAAGGCATTGCAATCTGCTTTTGAGTCGACTCAATAGGAGAAATGCGCCCGGATCAAGGCATTGCAATCTGCTTTTGAGTCGACTCAATAGGAGAAATGCGCCCGGATCAAGGCATTGCAATCTGCTTTTGAGTCGACTCAATAGGAGAAATGCGCCCGGATCAAGGCATTGCAATCTGCTTTTGAGTCGACTCAATAGGAGAAATGCGCCCGGATCAAGGCATTGCAATCTCCTTTTGAGTCGACTCAATAGGAGAAATGCGCCCGGATCAAGGCATTGCAATCTGCTTTTGAGTCGACTCAATAGGAGAAATGCGCCCGGATCAAGGCATTGCAATCTGCTTTTGAGTCGACTCAATAGGAGAAATGCGCCCGGATCAAGGCATTCCAATCTGCTTTTGAGTCGACTCAATAGGAGAAATGCGCCCGGATCAAGGCATTGCAATCTGCTTTTGAGTCGACTCAATAGGAGAAATGCGCCCGGATCAAGGCATTGCAATATGCTTTTGAGTCGACTCAATAGGAGAAATGCGCCCGGATCAAGGCATTGCAATCTGCTTTTGAGTCGACTCAATAGGAGAAATGCGCCCGGATCAAGGCATTGCAATCTGCTTTTGAGTCGACTCAATAGGAGAAATGCGCCCGGATCAAGGCATTGCAATCTGCTTTTGAGTCGACTCAATAGGAGAAATGCGCCCGGATCAAGGCGTTGCAATATGCTTTTGAGTCGACTCAATAGGAGAAATGCGCCCGGATCAAGGCATTGCAATCTGCTTTTGAGTCGACTCAATAGGAGAAATGCGCCCGGATCAAGGCATTGCAATCTGCTTTTGAGTCGACTCAATAGGAGAAATGCGCCCGGATCAAGGCATTGCAATCTGCTTTTGAGTCGACTCAATAGGAGAAATGCGCCCGGATCAAGGCATTGCAATCTGCTTTTGAGTCGACTCAATAGGAGAAATGCGCCCGGATCAAGGCATTGCAATATGCTTTTGAGTCGACTCAATAGGAGAAATGCGCCCGGATCAAGGCATTGCAATCTGCTTTTGAGTCGACTCAATAGGAGAAATGCGCCCGGATCAAGGCATTGCAATCTGCTTTTGAGTCGACTCAATAGGAGAAATGCGCCCGGATCAAGGCGTTGCAATATGCTTTTGAGTCGACTCAATAGGAGAAATGCGCCCGGATCAAGGCGTTGCAATATGCTTTTGAGCCGACTCAATAGGAGAAATGCGCCCGGATCAAGGCATTGCAATCTGCTTTTGAGCCGACTCAATAGGAGAAATGCGCCCGGATCAAGGCATTGCAATCTGCTTTTGAGCCGACTCAATAGGAGAAATGCACCCGGATCAAGGCATTGCAATCTGCTTTTGAGTCGACTCAATAGGAGAAATGCGCCCGGATCAAGGCATTGCAATCTGCTTTTGAGTCGACTCAATAGGAGAAATGCGCCCGGATCAAGGCATTGCAATCTGCTTTTGAGTCGACTCAATAGGAGAAATGCGCCCGGATCAAGGCATTGCAATCTGCTTTTGAGTCGACTCAATAGGAGAAATGCGCCCGGATCAAGGCATTGCAATCTGCTTTTGAGTCGACTCAATAGGAGAAATGCGCCCGGATCAAGGCATTGCAATCTGCTTTTGAGTCGACTCAATAGGAGAAATGCGCCCGGATCAAGGCATTGCAATCTGCTTTTGAGTCGACTCAATAGGAGAAATGCGCCCGGATCAAGGCATTGCAATCTGCTTTTGAGTCGACTCAATAGGAGAAATGCGCCCGGATCAAGGCATTGCAATCTGCTTTTGAGTCGACTCAATAGGAGAAATGCGCCCGGATCAAGGCATTGCAATCTGCTTTTGAGTCGACTCAATAGGAGAAATGCGCCCGGATCAAGGCATTGCAATCTGAGGGAGGCGCAGCCCCAATAGGTAGATCGGACCGGGGCTGGATAGAGTGCATGGCAGAGAGGGGGGATAGGAGAGGACAGAAAGGGGGGATATGACATGACAAATAGAGGGGATGGGACAGGGAAAGTGTGGGAATTGGACAGGACAGAGACGGGGGTGTTGGACAGGACGGCGAAGGGGGGTTGGACAGGACAGGGGAGGGGTGAAATGAGAGCCGGGGAGGTGAAATGACAGGACGGGTTAAGAAATGACAGAGGGGAGGAGCATGAAGGGAGATAGGGAGAATCGAGAGAGCAGGGAGTGGAGTGAGAGAAGATTGGGAGAGAGGACAGGGAGGGGAGAGAGGAGCGCACGCATGGCATGAATGCACTCCCTCTCCCTCTAACCTCTCCCACTACACTGCACTCTAGATGAGCTCTGCTGCCATAGCGCCATGAACCACCACCGTCATGCGCAATGCGCCAAGAGACGCATGCGCCTTAGAGTGAAAGAGACGGATGGGGAGCGATGGAGGACGGGGGTGGACGGAGAGGAAACTTAGCTACGGAGAAGCGTAGCAGCAGCAGCAAGTAGCAGCGTCGCCATTTCGCACACCGTCGCACACAGTGCGTCGCAGATCCGCACACCGTCGCACGCAGCGCGTCGCAGATCCGCACACCGTCGCACGCAGCACGTCGCAGATCCGCACACCGTCGTACGCAGCGCGTCGCAATTACGCACAAGGTCGCACGCAGCGCGACGCAGTTCCGCACACCGTTGTACGCAGCAAGTCGCCGTTCCGCACACCGTCGCACGCACCTCGTCGTCGTTCCGCCGTGGCGCGCGGCAAGTCACCACCCCGCACATTGTCGCACGCGGTTGGTCGCCATTCCGCTCAAGGCTAGATCTGTGTGCTCGTTAGCGGCAAAATGCACACTCTGCTCAGGCGGTGTGTGGGCATGGACGCATCCTAGTGCGTCATGCGATAAGGCTAAACCTGGGCACGATGAGAGCGACGAGAGAGCGCTCGTGCTAAGTCGTGCATGCAGGAGGGTTGACATGCTCTGGCGATCTTATTTATCTCCCGGAAAACCATGCTTTGTCAAGGCGGTGCGCTGTTGGCAGTGGTTCATATGCTATTCGTTGCTTGGGAAACGTGTGCGTGGCTTGTGATTCATGTGTTTTTGGTTCACTAAGTGCCTGGCGGCCCCAACTCAAGTTCCCAACTCTCAGCACCCCTTTCGCTACTGACGGGGGAGTGTACACCCGCGCAACTCCGCCTACACTGGCCGCTTGTTCGCGTCTCACTTCCAACCCCAAACCGGGTAACCACGTGGAGGCAAGTGATAAACCTTTGCCTCCACCCCCCCCCAAAGTGCACCCTTGCTTTAAATAAGCTGAAAGAGGTGATACCTAATCTTGAATCGGGCGATCTGCAAGACAAAACTCCAAAACGAAGTTAGGGCGTTGCTCTTTGTTCACGAAAAAGGAAAACCCGAAGAAGCCCAACTCACCTATGTCGAAGTATGCTTGACGATTTGAACCCACTGGGCCAGTCCCAAGGGCGTCATTCCTTAGAAGATCTGCTGTGTTTGAAGGGAGGGGAAACAGCGATCAAGGTGGTCAAACCATGATGTCAAACCGGCAAGGCATTATTTTAAGAGTGGTGAATGCTCCGAAGACCACTGGCATGGGCTGCTTCCTAGATGAGCTTACACAGCAGCATCAAAAGGATAAACGCCATATGAAAATATGCAGGTTGAGGGGCGGAAACTACCTTGCTGGTCAGGCGCGTCGGGCTTGTGGGTGATGACAATGTATGCGAGGCCAGCAGCAGTGATGAGCACAATGAGCAGCCCGATCACAATGGCCGCTATGGCGCCCCCTGACAGGCCCCCCTTGCTGCTGCTGACAGTGGTGGTGGTGACGAGTTGAGGCCGGTTGATGGGGCGACCCATGGGGGGAAGAGGCGGTGCGGCAGGTGAAGGGGGTGGTAATGGTTTTTCTGGGAAGTAGGAAGGCTGGGAGCCTGCAGGAGCTGGGGGCGATGGAGAGGTACCTGTTTCGACAAGCGAGGAGGTGGATACATACACAGGGACCATGCGCTTAGATAAGGAGAGCGAAGAATAAGAGTGTACACGTGCAAACGCCACGCTGTGCAAATATTATGCAAATATAAAAAGAGCGATGTGAAATATTTGCAGGACAGACCGTATTGAATGCAGTGGCGGCAGTAGTTAGGGCACTGGATGCAGAAGGGCGAGAGCAGCGTCTGAGGCACGTCACAGGCGGCGTCTGTGGAGGGGCAGATGAGCGAGGTGTTCTTCACAGCACTGCCGCGGCAGGGTGGAGAGAGAGAGAGAGAGAGAGAGAGAGAGAGAGAGAGGTTGTGATTTGCTTAGTTGCGCCTGTATGTGAACCGCACACACATGTGGAATGGTCAAAGGCAGTGAGCAGAGCAGGATCGACTTAACAGGGTTGATGGGGACAGGTTGGAGGGCGGCAGTGGTGACTGACAGCATGGTGAGGGCGGTGAGGGCGCCCAGGCCTGGAGGCAGCACACCAGTGAGGTCACGGTTGTCAACAAGGTTGCTGCCACGGACACACGCACACGCACACGTGATTGCTGGCAAGCGAGACAGATCACCCGGAAAGAGGGCAAGTGAACGAGAGGGAGAAACGGATGAGAAATAGGATTGTGGAAGGGTGGTGCACTTTAGCGCGCAGCATGCGATGGAATGGAAGGGCAGAATACATGTGCTGAAGGGCGGTCAGTGCCGTGATGGCCTCTGGCAGCAAACCGCTGAAGCTGTTGGCGCTCAGGTCACTGGGGAGACAGGGAGAGAGGGAATGGGGGCGAAGGAGAGAAACACAGAGAGCATGCAGCAAGGGGAGACGGACAGACAGGGTAAAACGAAGCTGGAGCATCACCAGGTAGAGCAGTATGAGCGAGGGACGGAGAACAGCCACGTGAAAAAATGAGTGTTTTTGAGACGTCTCAAGAACAGAGACAAAGGGGAGGAAAATGGAAAAGATGGTGAGGCAGAGTGCAAGGGAGGTGTTGGAGGAGTTGCACTGACAGAAAGGAAAGGCGCGTGAGCTGGGTGATGGTGAGTGGGAGGGGCCCTGAGAAGCGGTTGAAGCTGAGATCCCTGCACCATGTGCACATGTGGAGGAGCGCACAGAACACACGGGATGAGCAGTGGTGGTGGCGGGCGCGAGCGCGGACAAATTAGTGGCGCTGTGGCAAAGGAGAAGTGGAAGCGTGGAGAAGCAACGAGGTGCACAGGGCGCGGAGCAGACAGAAGCAGGACTTAGAAGGATGTGAAGGGGAAAAGGGTTGGGGGGGTGGTGAAGGGTTGCATGGACGCAAGGGGGCCGTCTGACAGCAGCTGGAGGGGTGAGAGCAGTCCCAGAGACGATGGGAGAGAGCCATAAAAGCTGTTGTTGGTCATGTGGCTGCAGTGCAGTGGTGAACAAAGGTGCGGGCAGGCATGTTTGTGCGTTGATGGAAAAAGGAAAGCAAATCAAGGGAGGTTCATTGCACATGTGGTGGCTGACATGGAAGAGAGCTGACATGGAAGAGAGCTGACATGGAAGAGAGCTGACATGGAAGAGAGCTGACATGGAAGAGAGCTGACATGGAAGAGAGCTGACATGGAAGAGAGCTTGCGCAGTTGAGTGATGGAGCGAGGCAGAGCGCCGCTGAGAAGGTTGAAGCTGAGATCGCTGTGGGGATGGGTGGTGGTGTGCAGGGGTGCAGGGATGGCGGCATGAATAGGTGCGTCACTGCACGCTCACCACAACCACAAAACATGTGTCTGGTGCTCCCACGTGGTACAGAAGATGAAGGTGAGGAGTCTGAAGCATGCTGAGAAACGCATACACTGGTGTGGCCAGAGCCGCCAGGAGATTGAGAGAGAGAGAGAGAGAGAGAGAGAGAGAGAGAGAGAGAGAGAGAGAGAGAGAGAGAGAGAGAGAGAGAGAGAGAGAGAGAGAGTGGAATGTGATGGTACGCAAGGCTCACAGAAACTGAAGGTTGGTCAAGTTGCCTATGCTTTCCGGCAAGGACCCCGTGAGCTGATTGTCTCCTGTGTTGCTGACGTGCCGGCATGCCATGCATTGGGTGCAGGAGCGAACAAGGAGAGGAACGTGGGAGAGCGGGTCGAGGGAGGGAGTGGGGGAGAGACATTTCAGAAGGTGATGAAGATGCGGAAGGAATGGCATTGTGGGGAGAAAACAATGTTGACTCCTCTGCATGTGTGCTAGAGCCTACAGGCATGAGGTGCCGTGGAGCAGGGCACCAAGAGCATGTGGCGTGCGGGGTGGTGCATACAGGAGAGTGAGCAGCGAGAGGTCCCCAATGGCTGCAGGAATGGAGCCGTTGAGAGAGTTGTATTCAAGAGACCTGCCATGGGTAATGCACGAGGGGACCGGCTTCAAAGCAGCGAGTGGAGTGGCAGCGAGTGCAGTGGCAGCGAGTGCAGTGGCAGCGAGTGCAGTGGCAGCGAGTGGAGTGGCAGCGAGTGCAGTGGCAGCGAGTGCAGTGGCAGCGAGTGCAGTGGCAGCGAGTACAGTGGCAGCGAGTGCAGTGGCAGCGAGTGCAGTGGCAGCGAGTGCAGTGGCAGCGAGTGCAGTGGCAGCGAGTGCAGTGGCAGCGAGTGGAGTGGCAGCGAGTGCAGTGGCAGCGAGTGCAGTGGCAGCGAGTGCAGTGGCAGCGAGTACAGTGGCAGCGAGTGCAGTGGCAGCGAGTGCAGTGGCAGCGAGTGCAGTGGCAGCGAGTGCAGTGGCAGAGTGCAGTGGCAGCGAGTGCAGTGGCAGCGAGTGCAGTGGCAGCGAGTGCAGTGGCAGCGAGTGCAGTGGCAGCGAGTGCAGTGGCAGCGAGTGCAGTGGCAGTGAGTGGAGGGAGGAAGTGATGTGTGCATAGGATGTATGTGCTCAATGGGGTGACTAGTGGGTGCGAGTGCTGCAAAGATGCCCCATGCATGCCCATGCTGTCAATCCCTGGCCTGGCGGTTGTTGCTTCTACTGTGCGAGGAACGCCTTCTACACTTTCCTGCCACCACCCTGCACTGCATGAGTGAGAGCACAAGGCAAGAAGAAATGGCGAGTCCTTCCTAACCAGAGCCAGACATGCGTGCAGGCTGGGCGCAGCAACGAGTGCAAGCGGCAGGGAATGGCATACAGGTGTGAGAGCATGTGGAGTGCGGTGATGGAGCTTGGGATGGAGCCCTGCAGCCTGTTGAAACCCACAGCGCTGCATGCATGGAGAGGCCACGGGGACGGAGGGAATGAGAGTCATTGAACGGGGCTTGGGAAGGGTTGTCTGGACTGGATCGATGACAGAGACGCTAAAGGTGTTCAAAGTGATGAGAGAGAGCTCACAGCACTGCGAGTGAGGTCATGTTGGCCATGTCAAAGAGGGTCCCTGTTATGTCGTTAATTGATACGTCCCTGCACAAGAGAGCATGGTGTACAGGTGTGAGTGGGTGGCAGGAGAGGCGAGGGGGTGAGGAGCAGGGGACAGGAAGGCGACAAGGAAGGAGACTTAACAAAGCACAAGAGAGCACAAGGAAGCGGTGAGTGTGTGCAGAACTGACAGGTTGACGAGGTTGGAAAGGGATGCAAGGGCGGAAGGCAGAGACCCGGTGAGCTCGTTCTGCCTTATGTTGCTGCAAGCACACACACACATGCACACACACACACATGCACACACACACACATGCACACACACACACACACACACACACACACACACACACACACACACACACACACACACACACACACACACACACACGCACACACGCACGCACACACGCCTGCCCGTGAAGCAATAGGAAGAGAGAGCAGGGCCTTCAGTGAGCATGCAGGATGGACACATGATTCGAAGGATGGATGCATGATGTGGAGGAGGGCAGGAGAATATGGTGGTAAGAGGGATGTGGGTGCAAAAGCACACCATGCAAGCTGGCATATTATGCATGTGCGTGCCGCTGGTTCATATTCAGCAACACAGGCACGGCGAAGCAAGAAGGGGGAAGCGACAGAAAGACAGAGGTTGTGTAGGCGCGTGCACGAACAGGTGGGTGAGAGAGGATGCGATGGCAGCGAGGGAGGCAGGGATGGAGCCGTTGATTCCGTTCCACGCCAGGTCGCTGCGGACGAGGCAGGCAGGTAGGTGGCATGGCGGGAGAAAGGAGGGAGGGTGGAAGGAAGGTGATTTGTGAGGTACATGGCAGCAAGAGGACCAGATGGCAGTTCAGGGAGCACGGGGAGGACAAGGGTGGTGGAAGTTGCAGGTAAGGGTGGTGGCAGGTGCAGGAGGGAGTGAGGGCACTGACAGCTGCTCGAGATTGGTGAGTTGACTGAAGGTGTTGGGGATGGTCCCTTGCAGTGAGTTCTCGCTGAGTACACTGGCAGGGGGGAGGAGGGGGTGGGTAGAAAAGAGGAAGGGGGAGGGCATGGCATGAGCATGGTTGGGATGGTGGATGATGGATGTACTTGGTATGGCGATGGATGTACTTGGTATGGCGATGGATGTACTTGGTATGGCGATGGATGTACTTGGTATGGCGATGGATGTACTTGGTATGGCGATGGATGTACTTGGTATGGCGATGGATGTACTTGGTATGGCGATGGATTTATGGCCGTACGCACTGCAGCAGGCCAAGGTGTGTGTGCGAGCAGCAGGAGGTGCGTACAGTCGCTCAAGGGTGCTGATGCTGCCCAAGGAGTCGGGAATGCTGCCATTCAGCTGCCTGTTGTTGCCCACCACTCTGCACCTCACCACACCACACAGCACACAGAATGCAGCACGGAACTCTGTTGTAACCGTAGCATCCATCCATCACAGGGTGCACACGAGAGTCGTATTGCGTTCCAATCCAAATGCAGTGTACACGTTTTCAAGCGAGCTGTGCAGCATGTGTGGCAACAGATGCAGACGTGCAGTGGGGTGGGCACTCACAGGTCGACCAGGGCGGAGAGTCCACCCAGAGTGGAGGGCAGGGAGGACGACAGAAAGTTGTTGTGCAGGTAGCTGCACGGCAGGGGAGTGAGAGGCAGCAGCAGAGGGGACATGCCAGTCAGGTGCAGTGGGTGTGACGCCATGTGACTTGGATGGGGAAGTTATTGTGCAGGGGGTACAACCACAGGAGGGTGCGGTGCGGCTGAATGCAGAGGTGGAAGAGGGAGCGGTGTGGTTGTGTTGTGTAAAGTGGTATTGGGGGGATGCGCAGAGGTGGTTGGGGATTGGGGTTTAGTGAGTAACAGCCTCACAGGTGCTTGAGTGACGTCATTGAGCCGATGGCAGCTGGTATGGACCCGTTCAGCTTGTTGCTCGACAGATTTCTGCAGTGAGGGGCAAGCGAGGATGGGCAATGAGAGGGGTGGAGAAGCGGGAAGGGAAGGCGACGACGGCAGCATGAATCAAGGCATGCGCGCAGCATATCGCAGGCACATGGCTGATGCAGTGATGCCCCTCCCTGCTTGTCCCGAGCGACTCACAGCACTGTGAGGTTAGCCATGCGTCCCATGGAGTCCGGAATGGGTCCTTCCAAATCGTTGCTGCTCAGGTCCCTGCCACAGCACAGCAGTAGCGGCCATACGACAGGGGATGAGGTGAGAGGAGTAACGTGCGAGGAGGCTGACAGCTGCAAAGGCGAGACAGAAAGAGCGAGAAGATAGCATGGAAAAGAACTGGAATCACGAAGGCTATACTGAAGAGAGCCTTCAGTTGGCAGCAAGGGAGGGCGGGCGCACAGCTCTTGCAGGTTAGTGTGGGCTGAGAAGGAGGCCGGGATGCTGCCAGTGATGTTGTTGCTGCTCAGGTCGCTGGTGCATGCAGATTCACACACACACGGGCACACAAGCATGGCCATGCACATGCATGAGACGGTGCACATGATACAAAGTATGTGAAGCTTCAAAGCGGGCGAGAACGACGGGGGAAAGTGGCCTCGGCAAGACAAAGAGGGCTATTGAATCGAAGGAAGAGGAGAGAAAGACGTGGTTGGGAGGAGGTGGGGTTGAGTTGGGGTACATCATACATGGTAAGGGCTGCGAGTGCAGAGATGGTAGTGGGAATGGACCCGGACAGCTGGTTTCTGCCCAGCACTCTGCACACAGCAGAGGGACGAGGGTGTGCGGGAGGGGGGGGGGGGGGGGGGGGGTTGTGAAGGGGATGGGCTTGTTGGCACAATGGGAGAGGGGCACGCGGATACAAGGGGCGCTGCATGTTGCAGGTAGAGACTGAGGGCAGCACACTGGGGTCAACGCTGCTAGGATCATTCCATAGCTTAGCACAATTCTCATTTCTTCCTGCGGTTTCTGATGCCAGCGTATGCACGAGTGCCTGCATGCGTGCGTGTGTGTGTGTGTGTGTGTGTGTGTGTGTGTGCGTGCGTGCGTGCGTGCGTGCGTGCGTGCGTGCGTGTGTGTGTGTGTGTGTGTGTGTGTGTGTGTGCGGTGGCACAGGCACTCACAGGCTGGTGAGCACTGTGAGTTTGCCCAGCTGTGGCGGCACAGGGCCTGAGAGATTGTTGCTGTACAGGTTGCTGCCAGTGGGGACCCCCAGGTTGTGGGCATGGATGGAACAAGCAGATAGGTGGGGTTAGGTTTGAGGAAGAACAGGAGGAGCAGGAGATGAGTGGGCGGGCATGGTGCATGCATATTCCTCCTGTATCAGGTAAGGCTGATGATGATGACATGACACTGCCTCAACTCCGTGAGCGAGCGGCATGGAATGGCTAAAGCTCGTATGCGCATGACATGTATGCAGCGCACTCACAGGTCCATTAGCAACGGCAACATACTGAGCTGCCACGGAATGGCGCCAGACAGGCTGTTGTCGCCCAAGGACCTGAATCACGGGCACACAGGGGAGGGCGTGGACGACGAGGAAGAGAATGGGGAGGTCAGGAGGAAAGGAGGCGAGCAGAGAAGGTGGTTAGAGGGGATGGTGGTGTGTGAGCTGGAAGGTGCTGATCTATGGGGAAAGGGGGCGAGCTTGGAGTAACAACAACCAGGGGTTGTTTTATATGGTTAGGTGCATGGCATGATGCGAGCGAGTGGGACGAATAAGTTGCGAGCGGCAAGTTGGAATGAGAGGGGGGTTACAGTTTGGTGAGCGCGGTGAGGGTTGTTATGTCGGGAGGAATGGGGCCCGTGAGGTTGCTCATGCTCAGATCGCTAACACACAGCGCAGGGGAGAGAGGTCAGAGACAGGGAGAGAGGAGAGGGGGTCGGAGGAGACAGGTGAGTGGTGCCACAGCCCACGTCACGTCCCGTCACGTGCGGCACCACCACTGCCATTCCAGCAGTGCATTCCCTCCCTTGCATTCCTGTGCAAGCTGAACCAGCAGCACCGCGGTATGGTGCCGCTGCCTGTCTGCTGTCCCTTTGCGCCCTTCGCTGCCTGCCCCCTCGCTTTCTTTACTACCCACGCTCCGTCTCTTTCCCTCCCAACGTTCCTACCCCCAATGTACTCCCGCATTCACCGCTCGTACGCCCCTTTCTCTCCATCTCCCGCCCATCCCCCTCGTTCCGCCCCAGTGCCTGAGACCGTGCGCACATGGCGGAGATCATGCCGCTCGGATCGCACGTCAGCCCTTGCGCCACGGTGCAGTCAGCGCCCGCCCGCCATCCCCGCAGCCTCGTACCCCACGCCTCTTCGCACGCCTGCAGGGCGGGGGCTGCGCGTACGGGGAGCGGTGGGGTAAGGGGGAACGCATGCGCGAAGGAGATTCGCGGAGGGAGGGGAGAAGAGCTGCAGGTTGAGCGGGTGAGGCAATTAGACGCGGCGCGCACACGATAATGAAAATTAAGCAGCTGGCATGAGCGATGTGAGGAGCATGAGGGCATGCAGATTCCGGGGAGACAATCTTGCTTTGACCGAGGTAACGCGGTTTTTGTGTGAGCGCGCATTGTCAGGGATGGGAAGCAACGAGGGTCCGCGCAAGGAGGCGGAAGGACTTGCGGACCGTGTCAGACTGCGAATCGAGGGCATGAAACGATTACCGAGTGCCACTTAAATGGCGCTTACACGAAACTCGGTGCTTCACTCCACTGCATTGGCTAATTAGCTTCTTAAAGGGTGCCGCTGCTTACCCTGTGAGGCGGCTATCGGTAGTCGCGCGCTAGCGACGTCGATGCGAACCGATGAGAGGAGCAGCGCGAATGCGAACGGTAGGGAGCGAAGAGAGTCCGCATGGTGCAGTACCTTGCGCGGCATTTCCGTAAGGAGCAGCGCGAAGCACGCGAGATTATCTGGCGGGTGCGGGAGGCTAGTTCATGGAGGTTATCTGCGCAGCTGCATGATTCTCAGTGGGAGTATTCAGGATGGATGGTTTTTGTGGTGTGGTCTTGATAGACTCGCCAACTGCAACAAACAGTCGATGCTCAGCCTATCACAAAACATTTTCTTCTCACAATTAGAAATTTAGTCACTCGCGAACGTTTTGCCCGTGAGTGACTAAATTGAGGGTACATTTCAGGGTACAGTCACCAAGTTGAGGAAGAAAAACATCTACAATAAATAAACAACAACGGTTGCCCGTCATCAAAGAAGTTAACCTGGTTACGAAATTAAAACCCTTGACTCGATTCACGTTGCAATTTCATATTGCAGTCACATTTTTGCCCGTGGCGACAAGGGCGAATGTGGCGAAACTACTCACACTCGTTTCACGCACATGCCGCCCGCCTACCTGTTGTTCTTGAAATGGGCACCGACTGTAGCACTAATGCCAAAGTCGGCTCATTTGAGGTTACAATGCCGATTTGGTCTTGATGGACTACCCTCCAGCATTGTAACCTCAAATCCTTCGCAAATCGCATCAGTATGTGCAGACTTCGCACCTGATCGTCCGTAACCCATCTTCGCGAGTCCTTTGTTCTGACATCTACTGGACTGGCTGGACTGGAGCTCTCTAGGGCAGCCACATATCTTCCCTCGAGGTTATCCTTGAATGTCAGTCACTCGCTGTCCTGTCATGCAACCAGGCCGCTCTTCCTGCGTGGTCCCGCATTCAGCTGCTTGATTTGAGGCCACCCTCTCACAGGCACGGGGAAACCACCAAGGTTGCGGCGTGTTTCCGGACCTCCGCTGAACCTTAACCTCGTCGCGTCGCTGCATGCGATTCTGTCCACAGATTCCCTTGCGACTCTTTGCTTCTCAGCGACGTCGCGTCACTCGAAGCAGATGGGCTCGGCGGCTTTCCACGCGGCGACCATGGATGGTTGCGAACCTCGGTAGGCAGCCTCGGCCGTAGCCATGGCAACATGGCTTCCCGAACCAACACCAAACCAAGATCCACTTTTCCTTGAGACCTCACCGCGAGCACGCTCCTCTTCCCACTACACCACCACCGCCACTTCCTTTGGACCTCAGGCGCGCTCGTATTCGCACGAAGAGTCGCAACCTCAGTCGCGAGAACAGTTCTATCACCATTCTAACCAGCCGCGCGGTCGGCCGACTTCCCGTCCGCGATCCCGGTCGCCGTCCAATTCAGGCCGCAAGGGTGGCAGCTCCAGTGCTAGCGCCGGTCCTAGCAGCAGCGCCGTTTCTTCCGGTCCCGCTGCCGCGTCCGAGTGGCGCGATCTCGGAAAAGCAGGTGGTGCGAGTGACAGGGAGCGAGACGCGGGCGACGGCGGCTGCGGTGGAGGCGGAGAGTTAGCGAGAGGAAGGCCCGGCGCGCGCGAAGAGGCGGAGGGCTGGTAGGGGGCGAGGGGCGAGAGCGCGCGGCGGGGAGAGAAGCAGGTGGAGGGCAGGGTAGCGGGAGCCGCGGGAGTTACAGGGTCGAGTCGGCGCGCGATTACGAGGCGGACTGCGAGGTGGTGGTGGAGTGGCGGCGGGGCGAGCGGTGCAGGGAGAGCGTGGCTGTTGGTGTGAGCAGCATGCGCAAGCAGGCAGGACCGGCGGTTGACGTGGCGCAGCACGGCGCAGGTGCGGTGAGGCGATCGTCGGATGGCACCATGGCGGATCTTGAAAGCAAGTCGCCCATTCGGACACCGAGACTCAAGGGGGTACGAGCGCTGTTGTTGCTTGTGATTGCTAATCAACGGTGGTGGGAGGGGGGGGCGTTTTGTGAATCAGTATACTAGGCTGCTAGTGTGAATCGTTGGGTATGACTCGCTGTGGTGTTTTCAGAGCGCAAATCCAAAAACTTCTGTGCTGCGCCATGGTGCATGCATGTGCGTGTCCGTTTCCTGTGGTGGATTGCAGACGATGAGTGACGCAACGCATCAAGCCAAGCCTCGCACTGGCTCGGCAGCCGGGCCACTGCCAGCACACAAGGGAGGGATCACCAGGTGAGCTCCGTGCTGCTCTATCCACGAGGTGACGTTCTGCTGCCCACATGATGCATCGTTGCCCCACTGTGATGCGTATAACTGTGTAACCAGGAGCTGAGGCACTGTGTGCGTGTGCGTGTTGTGTGTGCATGCGTGCAGGGGGCGGTTTCAAGTGATAGAGGGCGACCAGTCGGACAGTGAGTCCGATATGTCGCCCTGGCCCTCCGCCACCACCCCCTCAGGCACCCCAACAGCAGCGCCTGCCGGATCCTCAGGTCCCTTGCTTGGCCCATCGCCCTTCACTGCAGCTGCAGCAACAGCCGCTTCTGCCGCTCATGCAGCAGCGGCAGCGGCGGCGGCAGCTGGTGCAAGTGGTTCAGGGGGAGGGGCAGCAGCAGCAGGGAAGGGGGCCACGCCATCAGCAGTGCGGCGCATCTCCACAGCCGGCAGCGCGTCTTCCTCCTCTAGCCCCTACTACTCGCCCGCCTCGCGCTCCCCCACCGCCCCTCCCCACACTGCTGCTGACCTGCGCAACGGCCCGCTGCCTGGCTTTGCGGGCTCGTTGCGCTTTGAGGGCGGCAGTGGCGGGGGCAGCTGGCGGGGCACAGGGGGAAGCAGCGGCAGTGCGAGCGGCGTGGATGCAGGGCAGAGGAGCACCGGCAGCGGTGGCAGTGCGTTTGATGGCGGGCAGCAGCGCACGGGCAGCAGTGAAAGCCTGTGCAAAGAGGTGATGAAACCAGGTAGTAGCAGCGGCGGTAGTGCAGCGGGGAGAGGGGTGGGAGGGGCGTGGGAGAGGGGTCCAGGTGCAGAGGCGGGTGACGGAGGTTATTTGGGTGAGGGGTATGCGAGGGGAGAGCAGGAGCGGGTGGTGGAAGAGTGGGCAGGCAAGGAGGGCGCGAGGCAGGACGGGTGGGCGGGTGCAAGGGATGTGAGAGACGGCGGCGGGAGTGGCAGGGACGGGGCAGCAGGCAGGGAGGGAGCGGGACGGGCCAAGGCGCGCAGTGAGCCGCTGGTTGGGGAGAAGGCTGCTGCTGCTGCTGGCGTGGGAGGGGCCAGGAGGAGTGCACATGTGGACATGATCGACAGGTGCGTGCGATCGTGAAACACTCATTCAGCTGACATTCCACGTACTGTGCTCGCTCTTGGACATGTGTGGCACAGGCGCACAGGCTCCTTCTCCTTTGCCTGCTCGCCCCTGAGTGTTGTGGTTGTGCGTTTCTGCATGCGTGCATATGCGGCATGTGTGGTGTGAGCAGGAGCCAGCGAGAGGAAGGGCCAGCAGCAGCAGCAGGCAGTGGTGGTGTGCGCGGCAAGGCACCAGGGTCCATGGTCTCTCGCTCCGCTCCCCTCCCACACCCGCAAGCAGCTGCTGCTGCCTCCAGTGGTACTCCAAAGCGAGGTCTGTGGCTGTCGTTGGGGCAGCCATGCCATATTACCCAAGCTGCACATAATTCCCACTGCAAACCCCAGCTGCTCTGCTCTGCTCCGTTTCTCTGAGAATCATGTCGTTCTCTTTCTATTCTCATCCGGCTCAGCACCTTGAAACCCCACTGCCTACCGCATGTACTGCTCTTGCCAACGCCACCTGCCTGGATGCACCCTGCAGCTGACTGACTTGTCTCCCTTGCGCCCACCGCCCGTCCCTCCCGCTACCCTCTACTGCTGTGTGTGTGCAGGGGCTGTTCCCACAGGCGACGGACAGGACAGGTGGAAGGAGAGGCCCCTGCGTGATGAAAGGGGGCGCGAGGAAAAAGGGCGGGAGGAGAGGAACCTGCTGGATAGAGAGGCGGAAGGCAGGAGGGCTGGTGGGGTGGACAAGGATAGGAAGAGTGGGGGCAGGGAGTGGGAGGCGAGGAAGAGTGATGAGAAGACAAAGGAGAGGATGGGTGAGGAGCGAAGTGAGCAGGGGCGAGGGGGACAAGAGGGCAGGCGGAAGGAGGAAAGCGTTGGGAAGGAGAGTGCACAGGCAGGGAGGAGCCGGGAGGAGAGGGGGCGGGAGGGGGAGAAGGGAATGGAGAAGGGAAGAGAGGAGGAGAAGGGCAGGCAGGAGAGGGAGCGTGGGCAGGCGCATGGGCGGGGTGTGGGGCGAGTGGGCGTGCAGCGCAGGGGGCGATTCTCTGTCACCACCGATGATGTGGACGCTCAGGTGCACCCCCATGGGCCCATGCGTGCTGCAGTTCCTTGTCCATCCGTGTCCCTGCTGCCGCGCCGCGCTCACCTGCCCGTGCCACTCTACGCCTTCTCTGTGGTGGGAGTTCAAGGGACGATGGGGTGCAGGCAGGCATTAGACTGTGAATGCAAAGACTAACGCTGCTTGCATGTCTTGTTGTATGTGCCCTTCCACCCTACCCACTCCCTAAAGGACGGAGTGCCGCCCACGGTCGTGTACACAGCCAGCATGCACCGGCCCCACCCTCAGGTACCCTCCTCCTCCTTCCCCTCCCCCCTCCCCTTCTTCCCCGCCCACCTTTTTGTTCCAAGACAACGAATTTTCCTCTGCACTCCGTGGTGAAAGGGGTTTCCTAGACTCCTTACATCTGCTGGCATCTCGGCCTCCTCACGCCCATCCTTCCCTGCCTCTTCCGGTGCCGTGTCTCCCCCAGGCGACGCGCCTGCTTCCCCCAGGCATGCTCTTTCCGCGTGCGCCTCTCGCCATACATCCGCCTGCTGTCTGCACGCCGCCGCCTCTCCTCCCTGCGCGGCGCATCTCCGCCCATCAGGTGCTCGCTGCTCTTCCCCTCATGCCCTGCCCTGCCCACCACCACCACAGCAGCAGCTCTCAACAAGTGACCCCTTGCTGAGAGCATGGGTCCACTTGCTGAGAGCATGGGGTTACTTGCTGAGAGCATGGGGCCACTTGCTGAGAGCTGTTGCTCTGTTGCCATGTGGTGCGGCACGGGATGGCATGTGCTCTGCTTGCCGTACCTTCCGCGTGCACTTGTGTCTCATGGGCCATGCCTGCACACTGGCATGCATGCCACCATGCATCCGCTGCGCACCTTGTTCCGCCTCCTCTAGTAATGGCGCTGCTGCTGCTGCTGCTGCATGCGCCATGCACCCATCTGCCGCGTGTGCTCTGTACCCATGCGACCTCCCCCTCCAGGCCACCTCCCGTCCGCCCCTACCAGCACCGGCACCACTGCTGCCATCGCCCGTTGCAGTGCCGCCAACATCGCTGCCGGTCCTGCCCGCTGCCCGTGTGGCGGATGCACTGCTAGTCGTGCCGCACCTGCGCACCCTGCTGCAGCACTCCTGCGAACAGCAGGTGGGGGGAGCAGGGTCGGGTAAGGGCGCTGGGGAGCGAGTGAAGCGACGAGGCTGGTTGGTGGCCAGTTGGCAATGATATCTGAAGAACAGGAGATATGGGACGAGAGGGACGAGACATGTGGGTGTGAGAATTGAGGAGTTGTGGTTAAGTCTTCGGTGACAAGAGTTGACGCATGTTTGTGAGCTGTGATGTGTGTGCGTGTACGTGCGTGCGCATGTGCGTGTACCCGTGTGCTTGTGCATGGCAGGAGGTGCTGTTCAACCTCATCAAGGAGCTTGCTGCTGCTCACCCAGGTGCCGCTCCCCTCCGTGCACTGCTGCCACCCACATCTCTTCAGTCTCTCTTTTATTTAATTCATCTCCTCAGAGCATGTGACGTGCATGTTTGTATCGCTTCATTGTACTTATGAATCTTTCGCCGTCATTGTGTGTGCTGTGCGCATGTGTGGCAGTGGTGAGCACAGCACAGCAGCGACCTGTGCTGCTGGCAGGCATGCAGGTGAGAGCAGAGCAGCCCAACACAAGGATCCATGGCACTGCTTCCTGTGTGTCCCTGGCTCCCCTTTTGACCCACCACGTTGACCAAGGAGCATGCATGTGTGTGCATGGCAGGTGAAGCTGCCAACGGACAAGGAGCAGGTGCTCATGCTCAAGATCGCCGAGATGCAGTGCAAGTCAGTGCTCTCTGCTCTCTGCTCAACCTCTCCCCCGCTCCCCCCCCCCCCCCCCCCCCCCCCGTGGATTTTCAAGTCGGGCGTGCAATGACTCTAAACCTTGTGCATGCGTGCATCCCAGTGCTACTGCGACGTTTGACAAGTGCTGCTCTTCCTGTGGCCCATCTCAGTCGCGTGCTGTCTGTGTGTGTGACTGTGTGCGCGTTTCTGCCCCTCCCCCTGCGCCATGCGTGAGAGCAGGGTGGCGAAGCTGATAGACAATGTGCTCACATACCGCAATCGCAACGCTAAGGTGAGCTGCCCTCCCGGTGACAGTAATGCAGTGTTCACACACACGTCTCATACTTACACGTGACTATTGTCCCCGCCACTGCTGCCCCAACCGCCATATGCCCTCTCACCCGTGCGTGCCAATCGCATCATCCTGTCTCTCTGCTCACTGAATGCACAGCTGCTCCCCTGCTAGTATCTCTGTCCACTCCACGCCCTTTACCCGATTCCATCGTGGACCACCGTGATCGTGTTTAGTGACCAGGCTGTGTGTCCATGGCAACCTGTGTGCTGTGCTGTGCTGTGCTGTGCTGTGCTGTGCTGTGCTGTGTGCTGCGTGCTGCGTGCTGCATGTGTGCAAGCAGCTGTTGCAGCAAGTGGAGGTGTTCAAGCAGAGGCAGAAGGAGCGCAGGCAGCACCACAGCGGCACGCATGACCTGCAGGGAACATCGCATGTGTAGTATCTCCTTACTGTGTTGTGTTGAGCCGTCTATATGAGATTATAAGCAACTATATGTGCCATAATGCTATGGGGTACCAGAAGGTGCTCCTGCTAACGGTTTCATCAAGAGCATGCAAGGGCTCTATTCATGTTGCACAATTGGTGTAAAATACCCAATAGTATAGCATACCCATTCTAGGGAGTAATGGTGCTTTCGATTACCGTACCATATCATGTTCCAAACCAACACCCCAAATCGATACCCGTTCACTCAAGTAGCGCGCTCCGATATAGCGCCTCGCACTTGGTAGAGCTCACTTTGACCGTTCGTCGCAGCTCTCACGAGTCTACCGTCGGTACGCGCAGCAGCAGGCGGCGGCGAGAATGGGGAAGATGGGACCGCCGCCGGCCGACCGCGAGAACAGCGCGGAGCTCGCGCACGCCGCGGACCACGCGGGGGAGGATGGAAGCGCGGGCGCCGGCAGGGGCAGCGGTAGGGACGCGGAAATGGCGACGGGGGGAACTTCAGAGGATTCTCTTACCAGGGGTGCGGAGCTGCGCGTGTTGGAGTTCTACAGCGGTATCGGCGGTCTGGTACGATAACGCATGCGGAGTTGCGCGCGTGCAGTTGCGTGCATGCAGTAGCGCGCATGCAGTTGCGCGAGCCTGCCTGTTGAGCTCTCTTCGCGTTGCTGCCAACGTGCTGCCCGCAATAGTCCCTCGAGACCCCCCGCCACCTCGTCTCCCTCTCGCCCGTCCCGCTCCCAGATCGTCCCCTCTTTTTCTTCCCTCACGCCCTCCCGCACCACCCGCCCCGCCCCTTGCCTCCCCGCGCGCGCAGCATTACGGGCTGCAGTGTCCCGGCGTGGTGCCGGCGCACGTGACGGCGCGCGTGGTGGCGGCGTTCGATATCAACGAGGTCGCCAACGACGTGTACGAGCGCAACTTCCGCCACCGCCCCAAGCAGGTGCGCGCAACTTCCGCCACCGCCCCAAGCAGGTGCGCGCAACTTCCGCTACCGCCCCAAACAGGTGCGCGCACGCCGCCGCGCCGCGGGGAGAGGGTTCTGGGTTCAGGGTTGAAGGTTGAGGGTGCAAGGAGTAACGGAAGGGGGCATTCGCGGAGCGCATGTGCGCGCAGCTCGCTGCTATGCGCGCCTGCTGCATGGTTGCTTCTTCCGCCGCTACCACCATTGTATCTCCTCCCCCCCTCTTTCTCCTCTCCCCACCCCTCCCCTCTCCACCCTGTGCGCACGTGGCAGGGCAACGTGCAGACCATGTCAGCAGCAGCACTGGACGCGTGGCGAGCACACGCGTGGCTCATGTCTCCGCCCTGCCAGCCGTACACACGGCAAGGTGAGGTGCTGCACAACACAGGGGCGTGCAGGCAACACCCCAAGGGGCATGCGCATGCAGGAGAAGGCGTGGGAGAGTGGGTTGTGCCATTGCCATGCATGCTGGCAAGTGCTGGGAACATTGCGGTGCAAGGCCAAGCCAATGCTGCCATGCCATGCCTGACAATGTACCTGCCATGCCCTCACACACACTGCCATGCAATGGCCCTCCATAACCCCCACCCCCATGCACCATCTGCACACACCTCTCCCCCCCTCTCCTGCCCTCTTCCCCTATTTCCTCCCCCCCTCAGGGCTGCGGCGCGACTGTGAGGATGGGAGGGCGACGTCGTTCCTGGCCATGCTGCAGCGCCTGCCCGCCATGCACCACCCGCCGCTCTTCATCCTCGTTGAAAACGTCGTTGGCTTCGAGGTCTCTGCTTTCTCGAGCTCTCTCTCTCTCTCTCTCTCTCTCTCTCTCTCTCTCTCTCTCTCTCTCTCTCTCTCTCTCTCTCTCTCTCTCTCTCTCACTGCCTGCCACCACCGCTCCACGCTCCTTCTGCTCAGCGTCCCTCCCTCCTTTGCACTCATGTTCTCCCCCTCCTCTCTTCGCCACACTTTTCTGCTCCCCACTCCCGAACACCACCAACCTGCCTACCCTCTCCACCATGCCACAACCTAGACCCTGAACCTACTTTTTCTCCCCATCCTTTGTCACATCCCACCCCTGTCCCCCACCCCCCCACCGCCAGTCATCGCGCACGCGGCATGAGCTGGTGCGCGTGCTAGCGGGCACGGGCTTCACGTCGCTGCACGAGTTCCTTCTCACGCCCACCGACCTCGCTCTGCCCTACTCGCGACCACGATACTTCTGCCTTGTGCGCCCCTCACCCTGCCCCCTCTGTCCCATCCTGGTTTGATCTACGCGTACCTGCTTTTACTCACTGCCTCGCCATGCTGCCTCGTTACGCGTTGCTTGCATGTTTCTCTGGCATCCCCCAAACCTTCACCCCCATCTGCCACCTCCTCCTGCTCCATTCGCTCCCTCGTCCTTCCTCACCATCCATCTCCCCTGCGTGCGCGTACCCTCCCCCTGCCCCTGCCATGCCGCCAGGCCAAGCGCACCACCCCTTTGGCGGCCGCCCTCTGCCACTCGCTGCCCGGCCGCCCCTCCTCCCCGTGCACTGCTGCACCTGTGCCCGATGCAGGCACCAGTCGGTCCGAGGAGATCCCAGGTGGAGGTGCGAGCGGTGCAGTGGGGCAGGAGGCAGGGGGGGAGACGGGGGGAGTGGCAGAAGAGGAGGAGGCAGGGGGAGAGGAGGTGAGGAGCGATGGTGTGGGAGCAGCGAGAGTGCTGGGATGGCGTGACCTGCTCTGGCTGTGCCAGGACGTTGCGCGAGGGGAATGGAGAGAGCAGCGGGCAGCAGTGCAGGCTGGTTGCAGTGACGACAGTGGCAGCAGCAGTGGGGATGGTGCGGGGCGCGCCTCTGAGAGTGGTCTGAAGCCGCGGTGCATTGGTGATTTCCTTGACATGCACCCTGACGCTGCTGCTGGCAGTGATGCTGACGCCACTGAATCTGATGACAGCAGTGCTTCTGATGGCGATGGTGCGGGCATGGCGAGTGCGTGCGAGGCAGAGGTGCCATCAGCGCAGCCCAGTGCGTCTCCATGGGCGCCCTACTGTGTGCCGCATGATGTGCGCCAGCGATGGGGGGAGTGCTTTGGTGAGTCGCCTGGCGTGCTGTATGGGAACTGCATGCTCATGCTCTCTCTCCGTCTATCACTGCATCATCTGACTACCTCTGGTTCATGTGCGTGCTGTGCTGTGCTGTGGGGTGCGGTGCGGTGCGGTGGCATGGCAGACATAGTGACAGCAGCGGCGGTGCGGTGCAACTGTTTCACCAAGAGCTACACCAAGTACGCCAAGGGCACTGGCTCCGTGCTGCTCACTCAGGTCACCCTCTTGCCCCACCCCCATGCCGTCTCCCTCTCTTGCTCTCTTTTGAGAATTCTCAAAATCCACCATGCCGTCTCCCTCTCTCACTCTCCCTCCCACACCACACAAGACACTCCCCGTGTGCTCCGCGCGTCCGCCCTGTACCTCCCCCATGCGCCTCGTGCTCACCTTGCATTCTCTGCAGGGAGCGGAGCTGGCAACGCGGGTGCCAGCAGCAGCAGTGGCGGCATCAGAGGGCGCATGTGAAGGTGGCAATGATCCCACCTGCCAGGCCCTGAGAGAGCACCCGTGCACGGCAGAGGAGCAGCCGTGTGTGCGCTTCAATGGCATCCCCCTCACGCACCTCCCCCTGCGCTACTTCACACCAAGAGAGGTGCGTGCTCCCTTGCCAGCCGTACCCTGGAAATTATTCTTATCAGCCACTCCTTCGTCCTTGCCCATGCTGCACCAGTGTTCCTCCTCAAGGGGCACCACGGCACAGCAGCACCACATGTCTGTGTGGGTGTCTAACCACGCTGCCTGCTCTTCAACTCGCGTGTGCGGCATGCCATTGTGCATGGCATGCAATGCAGGTGGCCAACCTCCACAGTTTCCCACGCACCTTCACCTTCCCGCCCCACGTCACCATGAAGCAAAGGTACTGCACGTCCCTTGCCTTGTCACATCGTCCCCTCTCGGGCGCACATGCTGCTCAGTTTTGCCATGCCACTGGTTCAGTTTCCTTGCGTGTCTTGCAACCATCTGACATGTGTGCGTTGGTGTGTGCGCTCCCATTTTCCAGGTATGCACTTCTGGGCAACAGTGTGAGCGTTGCTGTTGTTGCGCATCTGCTGCGGCATCTCTTCACCATGCTTTGATCACTCCATGCGTCCGCAGCTTTAGGCATGGGCCTTGGCACTAGGCATTGTGTGAACACTCAGGTGTTTTTTGGTGTAATTGGAATATTATTCTGTATTATTCTACCAGCAGCCATGAGCAAAATGGCTGGAATACAGGAAAGAAAGGCAAGGCAGCTAAATACTGCACGCATGAGCAGGCAGGCTTGAAGCACTGCTGCTCTAGGTGCCAAAAAAGCCGCTTGCAGGTCTACGAGGCCACCATGGGTTGTGATGTGCCATGTCACATGGCATGTGTGACTGAAACTGTACAGAGAGGAAGAAGGAAAAAGACACTCCCATACCGCATGGTACATGGGAGGCCAAAAAGCAGGCGCTCCTGCTGTGCTGCTCAATGTTGCTTGCTGCCATGGTTCTGCTGACAGCGCTCTTGGTGCTGCCACTGCATAGTGTCATCCCCATGTGTTGCTTGTCTTGAGCCTCACGCCATGCTCGCATGGTACGGCATGGACAGCACTTGCACTGCGCCCGCCTTGGCTTCAGGTGAGCTCTCACGCCCCCTGCAACCCCTCTTCCTCCTCCCACCCCCCTCCTCCCCTCTCCTCCCCGTACGCCACCCATCATCCACACTCCCATCACACTCTCCTCCTTCCACCGTGCTCCACACACCCGTGCTGCAGCTGTCCACGTCAGCACCATCACACCCACTGGCATGGCTCCCAGGAACCAGAGGAGGCAGCATCTCACAAGCAGCATCAGACACGCCAAGTGCAGCAGCATCAGCAGCACCGCTCACAACATGTGATCCCCCAACATGCAGCCCGTCAATCTCTCCCAGAGCAACGCGCAGCCAGGGGTGGGCTAGCACTTGTTGCAGGGGGGGGCGACGACGCGGGTTGAGAGCGAGCATGGAGCGGATGAGGCGCACGCACAGCGGCGACACCGACGCCCACGGGTGCGCTAAGAAGTCCGGGCGGTTGCAGCAGATGGCGTGGAAGGTGGCAGGGAGGTCTGCACCCCAAAACGGCACGTAGCCTGCGAGCATGACGTATAACAGCACGCCCAAGCTCCACACGTCTGCCGCTGTGCTGTAGGGGCGGCCGCATACGACCTCTGGCGCCATGTAGAAGGATGAGCCTGCCACGCCGCATGCCATCTGCCCCGGCAGCAAGCGCACCGCCTGCCCGAAGTCCGCCAGCTTGACGCACACGGAGTCCAGTAGTGCACGGCGCGAGGGAGACGCTGCAGGGGAGGTGGCTGGTGTGGCGGAGGGAGCGGCGGCGGCGAGGTAGTGCGGGGGGAGGCGCGTGTGCAGGAGGAGGTTCTCGGGCTTGATGTCCAGATGCAGTACTCCGTGCGCGTGGCAGAACGCCACTGCTGACGCCGCTTGCCTGGTGAAGGTAAGGGTGAGGGAGAGCAGAAGAGCGAGCGGGAGCAAGGAAATTAGTGCATTGACCATGCTGCACAGACTGCAGTGGGGAGCAAGCGGCGGCAAAGTCAAATGCAACGGCAGGCCCGAGGTCCTGACGCCCGGAGAAGTTGAGTGGGCAGGGAGAAAGCGAGAGAAAGAGAAGGGCGGCACCTGAAGATGTGTGCGGCGAAGTCCTGTGAGAGGCGGCCGGCCTTGGCGATGAGGTCGAAGAGGTCGCCCCCCTGGCAGAGGTCCATGACCAGGTGCACGTGGCGCGCGTCCTCGTGCATGCTGGCCAGGCGCACCATGTTGCGGTGCGGCGGCAGCACGCGCATGCACAGCACCTCCATCGCCACGTCCTCCATGCGCCCGCTCGCCTGCTCGCACACACGCGCGCGCGCACCACGTACAGCAGCCACACACGCAAGCAACCCGGTCAGTAAACGGGAGCGGGAGTGAGTGCTGCTCAACGGCAGCGAGAGGTTACAAGAAAGAAAGAAGCGCGCACGGCGGAGAGAGAGCGGGGATGTGGGATGGCGCAAGGGCGCGTACCAGGAGCGCCGCCTTGTCCATGCTCTTGCACGCCAGCAGGCGGCCCGTCGCGCGGTGCATGCACGCGCGCACCACGCCGAACTCGCCGCGCCCCAGCTCCTCGCGCGCCACGGCGAACAGCGCGTCCAGCGCGGGCGTGTCGCACGGCAGCACGCGAAGCTCGCTGGTCGCCGTGGCGTCGCACGGCGGCTTCGCGTCGCTGGGCTTCGATTCCGTGACGGTGCTCCAGGGCCAAGTGACGTCGTCGGGAGTGGATGGGCTCAGGAGAGGCGAATAGAACGGAGAGTCGTCGACACTGGTCATACTAGCAGCAGCAATGGCGATGCGTACTTAGAATTCGGAACGAGTAGCGTTTCTTGGTCCAAGTGGAAGTCTTTAGCAAGACAGGAAGCAGAAGGCTCGCAAAATGGGGGTTGAGCGTGATTCGGGGTGACTCGAGCGAGAGATACGTGGTTGGAGGGGCAAGAGAGTCTTGCGGGTGGAGCGATGGGTGGTGGTGGGGAATGGAATCTCGATAGTTTGAAGGCCAGATACACCTCCATGCTGAGCCTGGTGATAATTGTAGTGTCCGGGAAGGGGTGCTGTATCTGTTCCGCGCTGAGGTCGGCGACGCGAGGGGGCGTCGGACGAGTTAGAGGAGAGGAGTGCAGCTGCTGAGCCGACAGGCGGAGCGAGGTTGGGAAACTTGGGACTGTGCGGAGAGGGTGCGTGGTTCCGACCACTGCCTGCTTGGCAGCGTCTAACTTATCACATCAGGCCGCCCAACGGTTCCACGCAATCTCCCGCTGCCTTGACTGCCCGGTAGCATTCACGACACGTGATATTTTGAAGAGCCGTGATTCCATCAGGACAGCACTACCGCCAGATGCGGAGGGGGGCGAGCCCTGATGGAGTCGCTGCACGCGGCAGCGCGACAGCAGGGTCTGACTGTATGGGCGGGGGGGGGCGTAGGTTGGGCATCACACGCGGAGCACCTAACCAAGTTGCTGACATGTGCGCCAAAATGCTCATGGGGCTAGAAACCCTGATTTTCTGTATTCGGATGGCGTCAGTTGGCAACCCGGCACACACTTCGCGTATCGGTACAGCACATAAGAACAACGCCTCGAATATTCAGCGAATACGAAACAAATCCCTATGAAAAAGAAAATCTTCATGGTGGCAGGTGGAGGAGGAAGCAAAGGAGCGCCGGGCTGGGCCCACTGCCTACTGATTGATTGTCAGGAAAAGCGAAGCGAATAACGTATCCAAGAAGTCGGTTTGGCGAGCGTTGGATATGCTGACAAGGCACGCCATGGACATGGGAGAAGCACACTGACGAAAGGAAACGGGAAGCAAGGTGGATGCAAAACGGAGACGCAAGGCGGTGCTTGCTGTTGTCGCAGCACGGAAGTGCGAGTGGCTGGCAGCGATACACTGCAATTCTGGTGTGACACAAGGGTTTTAAGCAAACGAAAGCCGTCCAGGAATGACATTCGTTAGAATGTTGAGATGATGTAGAAAGGTAGCGAGCGATACAGTATCATAAATGAAAATAATAAAAATTAACTTCGGATAAAACAGTGATAATGTGGTCACACCTGATGATCTATTCTGACACAATTTTTATCTTGAAACAGCTATTAAATATCAGGCAGGAAGATGAAACTGGTTATTTCTCTTCAAACATGCAAACATTACAAGTCGCAGTATTGAAGTGTTGGAGTGTAGGTGTCATCGCACATCACTACAAGGTCTCTATCGTTTGACTACTGACAGCACCTAATAACGAGCCTTCATAGGTGGCGGGATGGGGCAAATTTACCCAATCCTGTTAGCTCGCTTTTGGCTCGCTTCCGTCAAGCTTCCCTCTCTGGCGCGGCCGACATATTCCCGTGCACTCTAAGTTGCGCTCGCACCCGCGCACGTGTCTCCGTCATCGTCACCGCACTCACCGCTGCCATGCTCTGTTCTCTGCCGTCCCCCGTCTCCCCCGTCTCGCCCGTCGCCGTCTCTTCAAACCCCAGCCTGCCCCCTCGCATTCTCTCCGCTTCTTCCCGCTTCACCGTTCTTCCCCCTTCCGCCTCACCCGCTCCACCGTTTCTTCCCCGTGCGCGCATTCCCTCGCGCCCCTCGCCTCCCGTGACCGCCGCCGTGCCGCCATGCGGCAGAGAGCGCTGGACGCGCGCGCGGGGGGGATTGGCGGCGAGGAGGAGGGCCACAGTGGCCGCGGCGCACGTAGCAGGCGGGGGAAGTGGAGGAGGCGATGACGGGGAAGGCACGGCGGTAGCGGGCAGCGCGTACCTTTGCGTGTTCCCCCTCAGGTGCGCTCATGTTGGGAGAGCGGCGGAGTTCTAGTAGCGTGAGGCCATCGAGCTTTTCGTTGATAGAGGGTGGCAGGGCTGTGCAGTGGCGCCGTGCCATGCCCCGTGACACACTCCTGTTCCGCCTTTAACCTTCCCTCGCCCTCCCTCTCCTCGTGTCTGCGTGCCTGTGCGTGCGTGGTGTGTGTGTCTGTCTGTGTGTGTGCACCAACAGCGGAGTGTGTCTGCCAACTCATTCCGGGGCACTCAACGTAAGGCATCACACGCATTCTCCTCACTCACTCACCAGCACACATCACGTCGTACCCTTCACGTTCCACACCTGTCGTCGCACGAGAGCACCTCCTCATTGCCTCTCTCGCTCCCGCGCTCTCCCCCCCCACGCCCCCCCCAGGTGTTCGAGCCGCGCATGCTGCAGCTGATGGACGTGATCACGTACGTGGCGGCGTCCCCCTCCTCTCCCCCCTCTGTGCTGCCGCGCTTCGCCCTGCTGCCCTCCTCCTGGACCACCGCGCTCGCCGCCGCTGCTGCCATGCAGCAGGGGGGCAGCGGTGCATGGCAGGGGGGAGGAGGGTTGGCTGGCGGGGGTGCTTTCACGTGGGAAGGGGAGCTGCGTGGGGAAGGGGAGGACGGTGGGGGGTCGACGTGGTTTGGAGGTGGGGGGCGAGGGAGCAGAGATGGGGTTGCAGAGGAGGGGGTGGGGCAAGGCAGTGGGGAGTGGAGGAGTGTGGAGGAGGTGTTGAGAGATGCGCCTGTGGGATGTTCCTGTGTGGTGAGCGCACGCCCGTATGCTGCTGCCCTCATGCACCGCTTCTGTCTCACAAGTATTGACATTGCTTGGCACGTGTCATCGGTTCTCGTGCTGTGTTGTGCTGCCGCTTCAACCATGCACCAGTGTGCCTCGTGCAGCCCATCCCTCATAGCAATCCGGCTTCACTCCCACACCCATCGCCTGGGTCCTCTCCCTCCTCCCACCCACACCCACACCCCTCCCCTCCCCTCCCCTCCCTCCTCTCCCCTCCCCTCTCCTCCCCACTTGCAGGTGCACTCGTCGCACACTGCGCCAGACGACTCTCGCCTGGTGACATACGAGGCGACTCACCGCATTGTCCCGCGGGCCATGCGCCGTGTGCACCCCTTCCTCGTGCTGCTCTGCCACCCGCTGCACGACCACCCGCCGCTGCCCGTCAATTCACCAGCCCCAGCAGCACAGCTGTACGCCGGGCAGGTGGACGCGGCAGAGAGGCACGTGTGGGAGCAACTCAAAGAGGTCGCCTGGCTCTCTGCTGTCCTCGCCCGCACCGGCACTGCCTCTCGCACCTCCTCTTCCTCTGGAAACCAGCATGAGCAGCAGCAGGGGGCAGGGGGGCCACGGGATGGTGCCCCACCGCCCTCTGCTGCGGCGTCGCTGCTGCCCGCGGCTGTGCTGCGCTTTGGCCCCGATGCCATGTCCGGCACGTCTCGCCGCGCTAACACCACCGCCCAGGCGGGTCAGTGCGGGTGGGCAGGCACGTGTGGACAGACACCCTGCTGCCCCCATTCCATCGGACTCCTGGCATGGATGAAAGGAATGGGGGTACTTGCTTGTGGGTGACTACTTCCTGAAACCAATGCTCTCTCATCCCTCTCATTCTCCCCCTTTCGTCCCCCCCGCCTGACTCCCCTCCTTTTTCTTCCCTTCCTCCGCACCCTCAATCCGCGTGCAGCCATCTCAACGTGGCGGAGCATGAAGGGTCCCCTGGCCTTGGAGCGGTCTGGTGGTGAGGGGAAGACGGCGAGCACGGGGGGTAGCGCTGCAGGGGGAGGTGCAGGGGCGGAGGGGGCGTGGAATGACCCGTACTGGGTGGCGCGCGAAGCACTCAGCAAGGCCCGGCGACAAGAGGCGTTCTCTTTCGCTGCCGCTGACATGGTAGGTGGTGAAGGGAGCTTGGGCGGGGTGTGGTGAGATACTCAGTGTTGTTGTGCTCGCTGGTGTTGCGATGCATTGTGCATGGCATGTATTGAAGCATGTGGAATGGTCATGTGGCCTTGCAGAAGCATCCATGAGGGCAGAAGGGGAAGGTCCCACTCACTGCTGTGTGCCCATGTGCTCGTGTGTGTGTGGGACTGCTGCATGCAGGTGGACTTGGAGCAGCAGCATCGCAACCTGCTGCTGGGCATGACATGCACGCTGGAGCGACTGCTATGGGTGAGACACCATCATGCCTCTGAAAACAGCCCATAGGGAGGGAGCGTGAGCGAGGGGTTGCATGGGGCCATCTGGTAGCACACATGCATGAGTTGCATGGCCGTGCTCTTCTCTACATGCCAGCGCTCACCTGTATGCCACCTTGTACATCGCCATAGTGCCTCATTCCTCATTCTTCATTCCGTATCCGTATCTTCCCTCCCTTGTCCATTCAACCAGGTGCAAGCAGCCATCGAGCCTCACCTCGCCTCGCTGCGTGCTGAAATGTCTGTGCGGCGAGCAATGGACTCCTGACGCACAGCATGTGAATAAGGCCGTCATTCAATGGAGGTTGCTGCTGCATGTTCATCAGGCTACTGCACCAAGATGCGCCTGTGGTTACGGTATTTCAGGAGATTCGTAGGTCACACTATGCCCGCAGAAGTACTAGTGCGCAACTTCACATCATATTGCTCTAACACTTAGGCCTGGCTTTCGACTGCTACATGGATTGTATGTTACCTCTTCATGGCTCGCAAGCAGAGTACTTGGCCCAATTAACCCTAGTCTACCGTAATGCGGATTGTTTTGCAAGTCAAAATGACACTAGTGTGCTGTACAGGATTATTGCATTATAAAAATTCTTTGCAAACCAGTCTCGATGTACCGTACCATCTCTTCAGCAGTAGATTTGTTTTTCGGGTTGGCACCTGGTCCGGGCCTTCCCCAAAGGCGTACGAAACTGGATCTGCCTGCGATGCTGACAGCCCAGCCCTTTCGCTTGAAAGCAAACACAATCATTTCGAAGCCAATCCTCGATCCGTGCTCGTCCTAGTCGCAGTTGTCCCAGGCGCTCTTCCCGGCAATTGCCGACAGCGCACGAGACGGCACCACTGCGATCGCCCGCCACGCTCGTGGATCTTATAGCTGGTACTGCTCCCCGCCGCCATGACGTACTTCCACTTCTTCAACTGCGCCGCGCTCTCCTTCGCGCCGCACCTCATCTTCTACAAAGCCACGCCGCTGTGAGTCCCCGCGCGCCCTGCCGCGCGAATCCGCCACGCGCGTGCACCGTTTATACAGTTCGGAAGGACGCCGCGCGGCTAGTTAACGCGTGACACGCATGGCATTCCATCGATCGATCGTGCTCTCTCCACGCCGCTGCATCCCATGCCGTTTCTATCCTCTGACGATCTCTCCTGTACCGACCCGTACGCACCTCGTGTCTCCCCTGGCCACGCGGATCCGCGTGCTCTCACCCCTTTTGAACCCTCCACCTCAGTGCAACGGCCTTTCCGCCTCCCCACGCACGTCGCTCCCTCCCGCCTGCCAGGGAACCACTTTTTTTTAGACATCCCAAAATAGGGATTCACATGCTTGGAGGTGGCACTGCTGCGTCTCTTTATGCTCTCCATGGCCCGCCCGCCCCTCTCAGTTCTCTCCGTCCCCTCCTGTCCCGTGTCATCCTTGCGCATTGCCCATTGCGCGTGTCCCTGCGAGCGCGTGCGCGCAGGTCGGAGTACGGCACATGGACGGCTAGTCTCAAGGCGGCGCTCGTCTTCTTCGCCGCCATGCTGCTTAAGGTCAACCGCCGCTGATGCTGCCGCCGTCGTTGCCGCCGCCGCCGCTGCTGTCGATTCTGCTGCTGCCGCTGCTGCTGGAATGACACGTTGCTCGTTGTCCTTTCGGAGTGGTGCTCCTGCATTCGTGCCAATCCCCCTCTCTCCCTGCTGTGCCGTGCCTCCAACCCGCCACCCTCTCCCCCCGCCCCCTGTGCATGCAGATGATCCTGTGGGCGTCGCTGCTGCCCGAGTCCGATCACGACCCCGCGCTCGCCGCCCCTTCGCACCTAGACGCGCGCCAGGTGCGCTCCCCTCAGGGCTCTGCGGCAGTGCGCGCACCCACTCCCCTCACTTCTTCCCTGCGCCCTGCACCCTGTGTGCGCACGCTGCGCGACAGCCGCCTCCCGTTCCTCCCCGCGCTCTCTCATACCCATCCTCGTGTTGCACTCTCTTGCCGTGTGCCTGTAAGCGTCGTCCCACCTGCGCCCTTTCACCCACACACCCCCAATTCCCCACCCCTGACCTCGTTCCCCATGCGCGCAGGAGGCGTTGCGCGCGGTGATAGGCGCGGGGGTGGACCTGGCGGGCATGCGGTACGCGCTGGTGCACGTGAGCCACCGCAACATGGCCTTTGAACACAAGTTCCAGGCCGTGGGCCTCGGTAAGCTGCTGGGGGGGAGAAGGGCAGGGGCGGTGGGAGTGGGGGCAGTGTGGTGGTGAGGAGGCGGGGGAGTGGATGGAAAGAGTGACGCATGTGTGCATTCGTTGTTAATCTATGCCATGCACTCACACCCCCTCTCCCGCGCCCCTCGTGTGTGCATGCATGGCTGTGTGGTGCGTGCATCAGGGTGGGCACTGGCGGAGTCAGTGAGCAAGCGCCTGGTGCCGCTGTGGGTGGGGGCAGGCGGCATGGAGTTCAAATGGGACTTCCTGCTCGACGCCCTCTCCTCCAACATCGAACTCGTACGGCCCCCTGCTCCCCTCCTCGCCCCCCTCTCCACTTCCCTGCATACCCCGTCATGATTGCTGCACAGTCTCTGCTTTTGTGTGCGTGATGAGCCCAAACGTACCACGTGCATGCGCCACCACCATGCGTGCCAGTCTATGACTCTATTCATGATGAGCCCCTCTCGTGCCACATGCCATGCGCCACCACCATGCGCTGTGTCACCCGGCATCCCATCACCATTATGCAACGCCCTCATGCCCCGTGTCACCCGGCACCCCATCACCCACCATGCATGCATGCGTGCATGCCATGAGCAGGTGTCCACGGTGACCCTCGCAGCGCTGGCCTCGCTGCTCTGGCTGCGCCGCTCCAAGCCGCCTGCCCTCGTGCCGCTCATCTACATCGTTGCCTCTCTGCTCGCCGCACTGCCCTTCTCCTCCAGGTCCGCCCATGCCCTGCTCTCCCCCCTTCTCCCCACCTGCATTCCCACCACACCTCCATGCTGTCCCGTGACTCTCACCACCAATGGTACTATTCACTCGCACTGCTCCTGCTGCTTCCTTCATGTCCTCCATCAGCCGTTTGCCGCTGGAGTGCCACAGTCAGTCACATGTTACTTGGCAAGGGAAGCAACACACGCACAGCAATGCAGCCAACCCTAAACCCGAAACCCTAAGCCATCCTCCATGCCTCCCTGTGTGTGGCTTCCCTCGCAGCTTTCTGGAGCACGGATTGGGGTGGCAGCCGTACGAGGTGGCAGGTGCGCACCTGGCAGCATGCATTGTGGCGGCAATCATCACATGGCGCCTCTTCTCCGCCTGCTCACGCCAACCAGCGCCTGCTTGACACCGTCCCTTCCCCCTCTCCCCCTGCTGTAGCGGTGCTAGGTTGGTGAGGTACGGTGTGGCATCCCAGCCACCAGCTGGGTGCCTACTGCCCTGGTGCCTTTCCACAGTAGTCTGACAAACCTAGATTAGTGTGGTGTACGTTCTGATATTTTATTTACATTGATGAAACAAAGCTGTTACCATATAAGGAGTGAGCGCCAATTCCTGCACTTCACGAACAGCCGACGGTGTGCTACAATAGTCCATACAGAGAGCCGCTCAGGCGGTCGGAAACAAAACAAGAGGCGACGAAATCGTCTTAGGGTTGCGAAGCAACATTACACTGTTATTTTTAGATACATCTGATCTATAGTGAGAATTATATAATATCGTAACATGACTTTGATATTTGCTGAATCATTGCTATTCATAGATATGTGTTTCATATAATATGGGAGTATACAAATGAAAGGGTGTACATAACAGATGGGTGTGGTTGTTTAGGGTAAGTTATTCTTGTTGTGTTCATATGATTTGGTTTTAGGGTGACTGAAAAACTGAAACAAAAAAAACTACAGAAAGGAAAAGCTTGTTTAACCAAATCTTTGACCATGACTAGATTCGGACTTCCGACCTTTGCGATAACGACGAGTCGACAGAGCTGTGCTATACAATCCATGTTGAAAGAAGCGTAAGATTATATTGACCTTATTTGCAATAAAAACGTCCCATTCTAGGGTTTCGTCAAATGTCCTTTTCCTCCGTTTCTCTTCCACCTAGTCAGACTACTCTAGCTTCTCCCCGTCCCTCACGCCACTCACGCCACTCACGCCACTCACACCACTCAGACTATAACTCCTAGTTAAGGTAAGCCTCATTCTCTCTATTCTTAAGTTCATTCTAGTTGAGAGTAGGTTCTTGTTACGGGTGCAATGGAGTGAACGAACGAAGATTGCACTATCGAAGCAAGGGTACAATGAGCGAAGGCATGAGCGAAGGATTATATAGCGAAACTACAGTGGTAACGGTAATGGACTGTGGTTGTCGCGCTACGGGCCTGGGACTGAGGTTGGGAAAAGTGTCGAGGCGGAGGTCCGGAGCGCGGGTTACCGCCGAGCCGTGAGGTCGGGGTACGACATCCGAAAAATGGCGGGCGGATTATTGATGCGAGTGGTAACGGTGCTGACTGAGGTGCTACAGTGATGTACGCGTTGAGCGGGGATGCGAAGTAAGGAAAAGGAATTTTCCTTACACTACCCCCCTCCCCAAGGTGTGAAAATATGAGCAGAGGAAATGAATTGACTAAGTCAGAGTTGGGTACAAATACAACCCTAGCAAACTGTACCCCATATGTGCTACCCCACTATAGCCTACAAACATGCATCAGCTATAATAATCTGACACACCCCCATAGGCAAAGTGGGGGAGAACAAGGGGTCACAAGACCAGTCAAGCAAAGCAAAACAAGCTCAGGGTGGATCACAAAGTCACCACACAGTCCGAGCACAAGAGCAAGGCCAGAGGCCAGTTCACATGCAGGAGTAAAGACATATATATAAAACTAGACAAGCAAGAGCAGGTATATATATGTCAAAGTACAAGTAAAGTCAAGAAGAGAGCAAGTGAGGCAAGACAGGTACAAGACCCAGCTGGGTACAAAAGCGCTGATGGTCGCAAGGCGCAAGTGCCTTGGTGAACACATCAGCAGTGTTGGCCTCAGAGGCCACGTAAGCAAGTCGCAACTGACCACGCTGCTGCAGCTCACGAGCAAGGAAGTAGCGGAGAGCAATGTGCTTCGTTCTGTGCTCCAAGCGCTGCTCTCGACACAAGGCCAACATGGCCTTGTTGTCTACGTACAGCACTGGAGGAGAACGAGGCAGCTCTCCAAGGTCAGTCAGCAGGTAGGTGAGCCAGCGAAGCTCCTGTGCAGCCATGGCCCCGGCGTAGATCTCAGCCTCACAACTGGAGCCGAGAACCGAAGACGAGCGAGTAGACCGCCACGAGACAGAGCCGGAACCAAGGCTGAAGGTGTAACCCTGTGACGACCGCTGCGTAGCCTGGTCGTCAGCCCAAGAAGCGTCTGCGTGCCCAGTAAGGACCACTGGACTCCGCCCTCCAAGCACTAGCCCCATGCCCGACGTACTGCACAGGTAGCGCAATACCCTCTTCGCTGCAGCCATGTGCTCTGGTCGGTGTCTCCCAGGAGCAACATAGCGTGCAAGGATGCTCAGAGGGTATGCAAGGTCAGGTCGAGTGCAGGTCATCAGGTACATGAGGCAGCCAACAAGCTCTGCATACGGACCACTCGACTCTACGGACTCATCCGAAGGCAGAGCTGAGAGTGAGTGGCGAGTAGGCAGAGGAGTGGCCTGAGGCGAGGAGTACGTGAAGCCGAAGCGCTGAAGGACCTGCTGCACCATGTGTGACTGAGTCAGGGTAATGGTGCGGCGTGCTCTGTCCCGAGTGATCTGCAAGCCAAGGTAGCTGCGCAGTTCACCCAGGTCTGTGCACGTGTGTCTCTTCAGCAGCTCGGACTTCACGTAGGCGAGTCCAGCAGTGTCCGCTGTGGCAAAGACCAAGTCGTCGACGTACACGAGGATGTAGAACGGCGGCAGGGAAGTGTCGGTGCGAAGAAACAGCGACGGGTCAGCAGTAGAAGGAGCAAACCCAAGAGCCGCAAGCGTAGTCCTCAGTGTGTCGTGCCACTCACGCGGTGCCTGGCGGAGACCGTAGACTGGCCGTCGGAGGCTCCACTGGGTGCCAGGAGGGAAAGTCCCAGTGAAGCCAGGCGGACGGCGCAGCCAGATCTCCTCGTGCAGGCTACCCTGCAGGAACGCAGTGCTGAAGTCGAGAGAGTGAAGCTCGTAGTCGCGCTGAGCGGCAATGTGCAGCAGCACCCGAAGAGTGGTCATCTTCGGGGTGGGAGAGAAGGTCTGAAAGTAGTCAACTCCCTGCCGCTGACTGAAGCCACGAGCCACGTAACGCGCCTTGAAGACAGGCGGCGAGCCCGGCGGCCGCTTCACCCTGAAGATCCACATGCCACTGACGATGTTCGCCCCAGGAGGGGGAACCGCGTCAACGTAGGTGCCTGTGGACTTCCAGGAAGCCATCTCTGCATCCATAGCTGCCTGCCACTGAGAGGAGTAGGGACCCTCTACGGCCTCCGCGTAAGAACGCGGAGTCGGGATGTCTAGTGCATCCGGGTCTCCCTCAGGGGCTAGCAGTACAGACGCGAGACGAGGTGAAGCAGCGGCTAGACACTGGAACTCCTCCTGCCTGTCCTCTAGGACGTCCGTGCCAAGGGCACACTCACCCCCGACGGACGGAGGACAGGCGGACTCAGACTCAGCGACAAGACGAGCAGCGTAGTCTAGACGACAGCGCGCAGCAAAGTCGACAAGCTCAGTGACAAGGGCAGACGCAGCAGACGACTCGAAGGAAGGGTCAGTGACAGCAGTAGCAAGGAGACGCGTGACAGTAGGACTGGCAGCACGAAGAGAGTCCGACTCCGGGTCGGCAAGAGCAGGAAGAGAGGAAGCAGGAGGAGAAGGCAAAGGGGCACGCAGAGGAGCAGTGGACGGACGCAGTGACATCCGGTGCGTGCCAGGGACAGGAGGAGGACGCTGACGCGACCCGCGACCACTAGCGCGCTCAGTACGAACAGGCGACGCAGGACGAGACGCAGGCTCACGACGCTCAGTAAGACCTCCAGTCGGACCAGCGTAGGGAGAAGGAGCAGGCAAAGGGGAGGCAGGCTGTAGCTGTGGCTGTGACCGGACAGGCTGCGGACCCTCTAAGGAAGGAGGAGGAGGTGTAAGACCAAGAACCTGCTGCAGGAGCGGAACGAAGTACGGTCGAGGCCGCGCGGCGACGCCAGAAACAGCAGGAACAGCACCAGCACCCCCGGCAGGAGCACCCACTCCAGCAGCACCTCCAGCAGAACCACCAGAAGCTCCAGAACCTCCAGCAGCAGCACCAGGAGCACCGTCAGTCGGACCACCAACCGCAGGCTCAGCGCCAACGTCCTCAGCAGGACCAGCTCCAGGAGAACACTCAGACCCAGCAGCTCCAGCACCCACAGGACGAGCACCGCCAGGTCGCGTGGCAGCAGCGCCCTCCGCAGCCGAAGAACCACCAGCACCAGCGGCACGCCTCCAGCGCCGGGCAAACCACTCACGCAGCTCCTGTGGAGAGAGCGGCCCCCGGTGAGACGAAGCACCCCCAGGCACAGCACCTCCAGGCTCGGCACCTCCCGGCTCAGCACCCCCAGGCTCAGTACCCCCAGACACAGCACCCCCAGGCACAGCACCCCCAGGCTCAGCACCCCCAGGCTCAGCACCCCCAGGCCCAGCACCCCCAGACTCCGCACCCCCAGGCTCAGCACCCCTAGACTCCGCACCCCCAGGCTCAGCTCCCGCAGCAGCACCGGAGTCACCAGTGACCTCGACAGGCTCGACCGCGTCTACCTGAGACACACCTGAAGGGGCAGGACCCTGAGGGGGGAGGGGGACTACTGGGGGGGGACCTGGAACCAAGAAGAGGGGGGGTGGGGGGAGGGACGGAGTGCGGTAGGGGAAGAGGCGGTAGTAGGGTACCGACTCGTCGAACGTGACGTCCTGGGAGGACAGAACACGTCGAGAGGTGGGGTGGTAAAACTGCCACCCAGGGGCGTCGGGGGGGAACCCGAGGAAGACGCAGGGAGAAGCACGAGGGGACAGCTTGTCCGCAGACAGGTCGCGAACAAACGCCCGAGATCCCCAGACCCGGAACGCCGACGCATCGCCAACCTTCCCCGTCCACAACAGGGCTGGGGAGGTCTCCGGTCGAGAGACCCTGGGGTGGAGGTTGATCTGGTGCGCAGCGTACCTGACCGCAAACGGCCACAGAAAATGGGGAGCAGCCGCATGCATCATGGACGTACGAGCGACGTCCATGACCATGCCAATGCGGCGCTCAGCGATCCCATTCTGCTGTGGTGAGTCCGGAAGCGTGAAGGTCTGACGGATGCCTCGCACACGA